TGCATGTGGCCATGCATTTAATATTCCCATTTAGAGACTCGGAGTTGGAGAGTCGGAGTGCTGAGATGCACCAGCATTTCCTCACTCAGATTTCAAGCAACAGAGAGATTAGTCCTCTCTCATCACACAGGGAAAAATTAATTGCAGGTTGGAATCAGTTAGCTATTTAAGAGTCTCTGATTTAAGTTATTTGTGAAACTTCAGGTGAGGAAGAAACCATGTGGTAAAGAAGCCTCACGAAAAACATCAAGAGAAGGACAGTTTGGCCAGCACTTTTGTGGGGCCAGCAAATATAGAAAGGGGGAATAGTGAATAGCTGCACGAGTAAGCAAGATAGTGATAGAAAGAGCTATCACTCTTATAGCAAGAGCTGCACTATTAAGAGGAGAACAGAATGCATATTTTTAATTGCTAAATAAACATTTTCAACAAATTGGCATTTTTCCTACTGCTCTAGCAATACGACAAAAAACTTGCTGATCATGTCCCTACTACCATATGACTAAAGCCACAGGCCTGCTGTCTTCCGTTTGACCTGGCAACTTTTATTAAGTACACATGATAAATCACAACAGGATACTGTAACCTCAGGGCTGCCTTGTCGTAAGCTGCAAAAGCGAGACCTGCGATAACACACTGCCGCATCCTTACTCCGGGTTCCAGTTAGCCAGCCAAGACCCCTTCCAGGATGCGCCTTTCCATCTTCCTCATAACAAGTAGTCCACATTTCCTGGCCACTGATCATGTCCCAGCTCATGTGTTGTGGGGTGGAAATCAGGGGTGTGATAGTTGACTCTCTGTGTGTGTTTGTGTGTATGTGTCCACACACTCGGGCGTATCTGCAGATCATAGGCATGCTATGGCTTCCCTTGGTACATGGATCCTACATAATGATCTATACTATGAGAATGAGCTCACTTTTACATTTCATTCTTTACAGTATTAAAAGCATAGCAACCTGGGAGTCTCGCTCTCTCATGGAGGAGAGAGGCAAGGGGAGCACAGGGGAAACAGCCCACGTCAGTAGCAGTCGGACGCTTCTGCGTTTGGCTTCCAACTTGACCTGAGACACAAACACAAATGTAATTCGACCAGGGATGAGCTCACTCATTGTCTCAGCTTCCTTTTGTGGAAAGCCATTGATCTGGAAATTGCCACAATTCAAGGCTTCTGACTCTTGTTCTGTGGGGTAGCAGGGAATCGATGCATGTCTCTTTCCCATCACAGTCATAGGGCAGTGAGCATTATGTTGGAAATATCCCTGATCTTCTGAACTCAATTCAAGGCTAAACAGCAGCCCCGTGAATGTAATTTCCACAATCAAATTTGCTGGGAATAAGTTTTGCACTAGGTGTTGTGTCCTGTACATATTTATCTGGGATCCTTCTGATTTGAGTTCATATTTCATCCCATTAGGCCATTTCATATGTTTATACTGGATTACCACCTTCTTGTTCTTACCTACATCCCTGAACACTACAGTCTTGTGTATGTGTGTGAGGTGTACACAGTCATGTGCCCACATTTAGACATCACAGTTGTGATTTCTCAGTCACTTGCTAAATGGTGACAGCTGAGTCCCTAATGCCACCATGTGGAAAGTTGGGGAAGCTGAATAGTTCAGGGGATAAAGCCACTGCGCCTGTTAAGTTGTAGTTTAATGTGATTAGTGCCATTCAAATCAACAGAATTGTGTCTTGCATGTATTATGACCCCAATTGGGCCTGGCGCTTATGGAGAGGTACAAGGCAAGGTGATGGCTATTGGGAAGATTCGATGCATCACAGGACTGCTCACAGTTTTAAGGATTACTCCTCTGATATCATAATGCCCTTTGAACTTCAGACAAGGCTAGATTTAGCCTGAGAAGTCCTTGCTTTCATGTTTAAGTCCATTTCCCCTCCCACCCCATGGTTATAACCAACCAGCCAACCTTAAACTAATCAAAAATAGAAACAAACCCATGTTGGTGAAGTTCCTAGAATGAGTTGAAATGAGAAATTATACAAAATTATATAAATAAGAAAATAGCATAGTTACATAGAATTAAGGGTCTCCTCCAGGTGGATACATACAGCCCCTTCGTAAATATCTAGCCATTGGAAGTCACAAGCCAGGGGATTGTCCATCTCAAAAGATGCCTATACATTCATTCTTCCAACAGTTCTTCAAAAATATTAAGAGATGCATTCCAGAGCCTCTTTAAGGTGCAATCCTATACATGTATAAACAGAAGTCCTGCAATTCTCAACATACACCAACCACCATTGAATTATGGCACTTTTTAAAAAAAAAAAATCTCATAATGATGACCTTAAACTGGTTGAAATTTTGATTACGTAAAATGTGTTGAAATTCTGTTCTTCAAATTTATTCTGCTGAAACCATCCATGTTTGCCACATCCTTTGCAGAGGTGCTCTCATTTTCTTTCATGGCATGCCAAATATTCCACCAGAAATAGTTTGAAATGAGAAATCCTTTGTGCAGGAGGAACTTTTTTCCCCTCTTCCCCCTCTCTCCATTTTAAACCTTTTCTTCTTGTGGAAAGTGGTGACTGCAGGTCTAGGACAATCTGGTTTCATTCTCCTCCTGACGACTCTGCTGCTTGGGAAACAACTTCAGTGCAAATGCATTTTCTAGGCTCCTTGTTCATAAAAAGTATTCTCTGCAAGCACTGTTGATCAAAGCTAGATGTCATGGAAGGATGTGGCCTTTGGAGAGTCAGTGGCATGGCCTTCCCAGCCTAACTTGCCTCACAGGGTTGTTGTGGTGAGGATAAAATAGAGCCACCTAAGCTTCCTTGGCTTCCTCACAAGAGGAAAAATGGTGGAGATATTAGTAGATAATCATCAACTGCATCATCAGAGATCTGGGGAAAGGGTGTTCGGAGAATGGTGCCAGCATCGCCTAGTGCTGAGAATACATGCCACAGGGAACAAAGTTTTAGAGAAAGAGAGAGAGAGAAGTGTTATATATAGAGAGAGAGGAACGCCATTCTGAGGTAAAATGTAATTCTCTTACATTATTTTTAATGGTTAAAAACTAATGCCTTCCTACTTTTCAGCCATAGAATACAGAAGTTAGAATGGCTATTTTGGCTGAGTGCCACATTTCTCTTGGACTTCACCTCCTCTTACAGGGAGATTAAGTTATTAGCCAAAAAAAGATTGGACAAAGTCATGTATGATAATATATTATCCCCCTTATCCATTTTCAAAGTTGCTTGGTCAAAGTATATCATGACTTACTCCAGTTCAGATAATAGAAAAAAAAAGATGGATCATTCTGTGGATCGTTCTGCAGGTGGTTAAACGGCACAGGCACACACCCCTGCCTGGTTCTCTTGGTACTGAAGCAAAAGCTTCCAACTACCACCATATGGGGGTGGGGGGGGGGAGTGATTTCTTGAACCTACCTGAGAAATTCAACCCCCTCCCTTGGCCAGTTCGCTCCACTCTGCCAAGTTTCCTTCCTATTACTTGGCATCAAGTGGGAACAAGTGTTGTTAACAGTGAAGGAAAGACGGGAGTTTTACTGCTTCCTCTCTTTGAACCCGATTCAAAGGGGTGATGTTTGAAGGGGTGATGCCCCTGGGACTTGCTGAGAGCTACTGCGGGTGCAAAAAAGGCAGAGGAGACTTCTTTCTGCCTGCACTCTGCTGCGGCTGGCATTACTCTCACTGCCTTCCAGTAAGTTCATTTCAGATCCAGGCGGCAGCAAACAACTCTGCTTTCACTAAGGGGAGGGCTCTGAAAATCAGATCTGGAGTTTGGACGGCAACTTAGCAACACAGATGATTATAGTGTTTGTGATCGTAAATGCCAGTCCTTCGGGCAACTAGCATTCTTACGATGCAACCCCTCCCTTGTTATGCACATTGCGTTCATATTTTGGAACACGCCAATCAGTATTTGAAATCTTGACAACCCTTGTTTGCAAATGCAGCAATGAATGGCAATCATGTAATCGTGGTTGAAGATGCATTATAGCAGAAAACAGAATTTCTTATATGCTCCTCCTGCTCACACACGCACGCGCGCGCGCGTGTACACACACACACACACACACACACACACACACACACACACACACACACACACACACACACACACACACACACACACCCCTTTGGTAAAACCAGAGCTGAAAATGCAACAGCAACAGCTTTGTGTCAAGCACCTTTTCCTAGTCTACCTTTAAGCAGCTATTGGCAGAGACTGCCACCTGCTGGTGAAACGGCAGAAAGGCACGGTTGTTTCTTTTTAGAAATAAGAAAAGAATATTGCAGAAACTAGGTGGAATGTTTCAATAACTGCAAAACCGATCCTGATCAGAATGATCAGTAACTGATTTGTACATCACTAGAATCTTGCTTTTTATTTGTAAAAAGGCATTTTCAATGCTTGATTCCTTTCTATGAATTGTTTTGCTGCCATCCTAAGGCTTCCCAACATTGCCTGCAGGGGCCATAGAATTATTTGGCATCTCAGTTCTTACATCCGGTCTTGTGCACAGCCATAGCACCCTATTCCATATGCAGGATGTGCATAAGCCTCACCCTGCAGAGGTTCACTGTAGTGAGGGTGGCAGCCCTGGTCTTTTGGGAAATCTTTTATACCTTTTGGAAGGAAATTAATTCTTCCACACTTTCTTTGCTCCTTTCCTTCCCACCTCCTTATTTTTGGTTAGGCCAAATTATGCATGATATCAATCCCCCCATTCTCTTTCTGCATAGTTTGGATGCTATCTGTGGCACTGGAAAAGGAGGAGAGTTTAATTTGAACTGCATGACATGGGTCAGTTTTAAATCCTATGTCAGTGGCGGAGGGGCAGGGTATTGCAAAGACCATGGCTTCATAGATTGTAGTTGCTTTACTTTAGAATGGTGTAATGATAATCTGTCTTTTCCCCTTCATTGGTCTCTAGCAGTGACTGTTCAATAAAAATAATACTTCTTCTTCCTCTTCTTCCTTCTCCTTCCCCTGCTCCTCTACAACAGAGCCACCAACGTGGGTACTGAAACCCAAAGGTGGGGTTTTCAGCAAAGGTGGAAGCTTTGTATTGTTGTGCCAAGCCATTGGCAACCCGGAGCCCACTATGAAGTGGAAAAGGAATGGCATTGTTTTTGGCGGTAAGCTCGAGATGATTTGAGAGGCTGGACTAAGGACAAACTCTTAGCCATGCTGAGACAGAAGGACGTCCTGCAGCTGTAACAGGCCCTGGGCAGCCCTGTTGGCTGGTCACACTGGGATCTGTAGGCCTTTTGTCTGTCTCAACCTGTATAGGATTGTGTCTTTCATGTTCTCTGGGGGGGGGGGTGCTTTTCAATGCCCATGCGTGTTACTTCTCTTGTGGAACAAACAAATTCCATTTCTCCCCATCCTTTCCATGCCATGTTTTACAACGGATTTTATAGCCATCACTTGTTGAACCAAAATGAAGAAACCCTCTTTGCCAACCTTGACCAAAAAGAAACACTGCATATTTCAAAATAACATTTTGAATTTAGTCAACCTAACACCAACATAACTATAGAAATAAAAGGATTTGGGCTACCAGCATGCATGCAAGTTGGCTTTTGACAGAAAATGTTTTTGAAATTGGGAGGAAAGGGAGGATGCTGTCATGTGTGCTGTCAGCCCCACCAGGTCCCAGTAGGGCCCTGCAGGCCCAGGCACTGATCCAGGCCCCTGACTTGCTGCACTCCGGATGATTACTTGGGAGCAGCAGCAATGAGGCTTTGATTAAATTTAATGAGACAATTTGACATTTTTGAATTGTGTTGTTGGAGAAGACGCCTGAGAGTCCCTTGGACTGAAAAGAGATCAAATCAGTCAATCCTAAAGGAAACCAACCCTGACTGTTCTTTAGAAGGCCAGATACTGACGATGAAGCTGAAATACTTTGGCCACCTAATGAGATGGAGGGATTCACTGCAGAAGACCCTGATGCTGGGGACAATTGAGGGCAAAAGGAGAAGGGGACGGCAGAGGTAGCAGTGGCTGGATGGGGTCCCTGGGGCGGTGGGGGTGCGAGTCGGGTGGACTCTGTGGGATGGTGAAGGACAGGAGAGGAATGTTCTCCATGGGGTTGCAAAGAGTTGGGCATGACTTTGTGACTAAACAACAACAACAACGACAACAAAGTCAACTAGAAACTGCTTAAGGAAAATGCAGGTGCAGGCCTGTGAGACGATTATCAGCTTCCAGATACTCTTGTTACGTGGAGCAAGGCCAGAGGTGGGGGCAATCCTCACTTCCCATCTCTGCCACAATGTAGTTTTGCTAAATGGCCATTTTCAGCCAACTAGCTGGGACAGTAAGGAGGGGAAGGGAAGGAGGCTGCAATGGTCATAGGGCAGTTTCTTGGCGTCTGTAGTCTTCTTCACCCTCCTCTGAGGTCAAGTTCCCAAACTGGTGCAGGGCTGCTAGCATGGGAATTTCTGTGCTAACTGCAATGGGGGAGGGAGGGGGCAGATTCCAGCTCTGAACCTGACCTGCTATCTGAAAATCCAGGTGTTCTAAGACCTTCCCAACAATGTCCAGGGACCAAAGGATCAGTCCCTCCAATACATATATTGCCACTGAAGTGATGGGGCTGAAACATGAATTTCCAACTTTTGTTGATAAATGACACGCAACCACAGACTCAACTATTTTACCCACTAACATAATGAACAAAAGACACAGAGATGGCTAAAACACTGTCCTATATTTATCCCATAAGATGTTAAACCAGATTTGCCCTGAATTGTTCCTCACATGGAGCAACACATCCCTTGCAGTTGGCACATACCTCTAAAACTTCTGCAAACAATTTCTTACCTTGTCGTCTGCTTTTTTTAAAAAAATAGAGGCAGAAGCAAAATCCATGCGGATTTCTTATTCCCCAAGGGAGATCAGTGTCATCGATCTAGTGCTGAAAGACACGGCAGTGTTCCAGTGCGAGGCTACCAACAAACACGGCACAATCCTCGCCACAGCAAACATTGACGTTCTTGGTAAGTTCTCCCCCTTTGTGAGGGCCATTCCACATACAGGCTGTAGCTCAGTGGTAGAGGACATGACTACATGCAGAAGGTCCCAGAACCAATCCCAAGAACCTCCAGGTGGGGCTTGGAAAGGGTCGTCCTTGGAACCCTGGGAAGCCCCTGTTGGTCAGTGTGCAGGAATCAGTTGCTTGACTTGGCATAAGACAGTTTTCAATGTTCTTATCAAAGCCAGACTACCCAGAGACCTGATATCAATTTTAATCCTGATCATGGTGGGCTCCAAGACATTGGATGTATCAGCAAGGATAGGTGCAGGTCACACAACTATTTTAGTTACTCATATGAGAATGGGAAGTCAAAAGGGGGCTGCCATCTACATCTGGGAAACTGGGTAGGATCCCGAAAGTGGATCAACTGCATTTCTTCCTTCTTTTGGGTTACATGAGTTGGTTTCTGAAGGCCCTGAGTGCTTAATCAGACAATTGTGTCCTCGTTAGATAAAAGCTGCTGATCTTGCAGGCTTCCAAGTATCCAGTGCCCATTGTTGCCAGTAATGTTGAAGGAGGAAGGCAAGTATTTTTGCCTCTCTATCCTCCTTTTAAACTTTGTTTTCCTCTAGAGAAGACATGCTGAAAGGGGCTGACTCACACAGCTCAGAACTATGCGGTGCAGTTCTCAGAATTAAAAATGTGTCCAAAATGTGCACAGGGGCAGGGGACACCCAGAGAAGCATTAGGGAAGCCACTTGAAATAAACGCATATGTTAGGAAAAGTCCCATGCAAATTGTGTTTATTAAGAGAAATGCACACAAAAATGCATTGTGGTTGGGGCTCTCCAAGTGATGCAGAAATAGAACAAAATGACCTGGATATTGGAAATATGAGAAATGAAGTGAAATCCAAATGGAGCAACCTTGCTTGGGCATAGCCTGCTCCAGGCAGGCTCAGTGGACTAGCCCAGGCCAGGGCAGGCATGGACCGTGGGGTCAGCAGCCCGCACGGGGCCTTGAGATCCATACTGTGCTCTCATCCGCTGCTTGGACACCTTCCCCATCAGGATCCCATCACTCTCGGTGTCTGTGCCATGCTGATTTCCTGCTACCACAGGCTGTCCCGAAGCTGCCACAGTTCCTGAGGTTCAGGATGTGTTGTTGAGAGTCTAGATGGACCAGTGGACCTGGGGCAGGAGGAAGAGATGGGTGTAGTGTTTCAGCCAATCTCATCCCATTTGCCATTGAGAGATGGAGACTACCCTCTTGCTCCTGCAATTGCAGGACAACCGGCCAAGCATTACGACAAGGCCCATATGTTTCCTCTGTACGTTGAGTGATTAGGAATTGCTTGGACCCATTCCTAAGTGCATCTCTCTTTTTATTTTAGTACAGGACATTTTCCCGCTCCCTGTTTTGTAAAGCTCTTTTTTAATACATCTGCAGTGCAATGTGTTTTGTTTTATTGCCTTATCCTATCTGCTTTTTTCAGAAATTCCCCCAGAAATATTAACCCCGGATGGTGAAGAGTATGTCGCAGTGGTGGGATATGCAAGTTACCTCTATTGTCAGTTTTTTGCGGTACCGTTTCCTGATATTTCTTGGTAAGCTTTATTTCAGCTCCTTTCTCTTTTTCAGAGACTGCTATTGACATTTCATATCCTCTTGTGTCTGTCTGTGCTGATGTCTTTGTGTGTTTTTTTTTAAACTTCAATGATTTTTTTAATCCATCTAACACAGCTTACTATCATACAATGCCAAGAAGATGAGTTTAACTATGCATGTAATTTAAGGATTTCAGTGAATTCATCTGACAAGGTTAATGAAGCCATGCATTGTTTGTTAGTAGTGGAAATGGTAAGGTCCCCATGAGCTGGTGTTCCATTTCCTTTATCTTCAGGAAAGCAAAGGTCAACAGAGTCGGTTTGCTCAGAGGGTTTCCTTGCTCAGGAGCAATTTAGGTGGATTAATGAAAAGCAAATGTTATTTTTGAAACGACACCAAAGCACTCAAATCCTCTGAGGTCCCCACAGCTTTCTTTAGGTATACAAATTTACCTCAGAACTTTACTTGGATTGCTCAGCTCTTCAGAAAAATGTCACTCATTAGACTAGAAACTTACTCTTCTTCTGAGATTTCACATTGCAAGGCATCATCTGTTACTAGAAGCAGGGCTGAGATTAAGCTTTTAAAAGTTCCAAGAAAAAAGAACCCCTGAATGTCAGTTATGGGGACAAATGAGACTATGATGAGGTATTAAGTAGGATTTAAGAATTACATATCTGAGATTTTCTTACGGCTGATGGTCAAATCAAATAAATTTAATTTAGTGGAAATATTACTGCCAGATATTTTTAAAGATTATACCAAATCTATATGAAAAGAAAGCATTGCTACTGTATAGAAAATCAGAAATATTCTGATGTGGCTAAGAAGAAAAAAATGAGGTATTTGGCTGTTCTGGAAAGGGTCACAAGTTTTGCTAATTACATTTAATTAGGAAATAAGATGCATATATATTCTGATAACTCTTGCTCTTTTTTTTAAGGAGGTCAGAATCTTTAAAGAATATTCACCAATATCAATACAGAGGCGCAAAGAACATGGGGTCTGACACCAACTGCCATATATGATGTTGCTAATTATTTGCTTTCAAAAATGGCAGAAAAATCTGGGTCATTTTCCTAATTTTGAACAGAGATGCTATGGGCACATCCTATACATATCCATACAGAAAAAGCCCTAAATCTTTCAACCCTCCCAGAGAGATGCTGGGAACTGTAGGACTTTCTTTGGTCCAAACATACAGAAGTTGGTGCCCCAACAGAGCAATCTTACTTTCCGGAAGCACTGGCTGGAGGGAGGATAGGAGGAGACACTGCTGCCCTTCACAGATGGAAAGGAGCTCTGTTGGCGAGGAAGGAGGGCCACTGTGGGGAGGGGGTTACCGCTAGCAGCGTTTCCCGTAGTGCTAGTTGGAGTTGGCCCCCAAAACAGAGCATGGCAGAACTGAGGCCAGCAGGCAGCCTTGAGTCTATCGCCCGCACTTCCACTTCAGTCACCAGTGAGTCACAAGATGTGGTCTCTGTTCTTCCTAGATAAAAGAACAGTCCTCTCGCTCTGTCTTCTTGTTTCTGTTTCATCTCAGCAGCATGGATCGACCCTGGCTGTCCTGACATTGCGATGATCCCCTAACCTCTAGCAACATGCTTGCAAATAGGTTTTGTGGAAATACCCTTTTCCATAAAGGTTTCCCATTAAAACACACACACACACACACACACACACACACACACACACACACACATGCTTAGTGCGTTTTAGGCTTCGGACATTACAGTTTATGTTCTGCTGCTTTGCTTTGCTTTGCTTTGCATACATCACTCAGAAAGCATATTATTAATGGGTGTGCTAAAACTGCTGGTAATACACACACACACACACACACACACATACATAGCCAAGATCCTGCTTGTCTTTCTAGGACTAAAGATGACAGCATGAAACATCTTGAGGCCAATCAAAATGGAACACTGGAGATCAAAGTCACAAGGAAGGAAGACGCCGGCTCTTACACTTGCATGGTGAAAAATGCTGCCGGGAGGCGGGGTCTCACTGCTACACTAACTGTTCGAGGTACAGCTGGGATTGCTTTCACGGCACCTGATGGTTTTGGGAAGAGTTGTGGCAGGGGGAGGGGGAGGTTCTATCTCCATTGAGGACATTTCTACCTTTCCAAACAGTAGTACCACATGCTGCATTGGACAGAAGTGGCTGTGTAATTTTCTTTATGGATTTTTATTATCATTGTTATTAATTAGATTTCTAACCCACCCCATTAGCTGTACAGCTACCATATATATGGTATGTGTTTAATGCATAGCATTCTCCATTCGGATTCCTAACACAGATTCAGTATCTTTATATTCATACCTTGAAAAAGTGGTGTGAGTGTATATTTTTCCCAACTGAAAGCTCAGACTTTCTGGAGCAGATTTTCTTGGAGAATGTGTCAGGGGAGGGAGGGAGGAATGTGAGAGAGAAAGTCCCTTTTTCTCATTTAAGTGTAATATCACAAAACAGACACCACAGTTTGGAAATCCCTTTCTTCATTCTTCTTAGATGCCACCAAAATTTCTGTCATGCCTAAGAATCCACAAGTTTTGAAATCACACTCAGTTTTATTGAAATGTAATTCTGAATATGACCCACATTTGAAGCACCACTTTAAAATATCATGGAGAAAGGATGGGAAGGAAATTGAAAAGAATGACACAGAAGATGGAAGGTAACAAGAGAGACTCTATTCTTCTTTGCTTCTTCCCAAGTTCCTTTTACGTTACTTACTTTCAGAGGAACAGCCAATGATTTCTCTTGGCGATCACCCGCTTTTTCCAAGGGGCACATGCGCATGGCCTTGCTGTCCTTCCCTCTGGCCACCTCCCACTCAAGGCAGCCCATGAGCAGCAGAGGAACGCCTGGGACAACATTTCCGTAGCAATACTGACAGTCATCTTTGCTGGGATTTGGCTGGGATATGGGGCTGCTCACCCTAAAGCTCTGTACGGAGGGACTGGGGCAGGTGGGGACGGTGGCTGCATGTCACAGGGATGGTGTCCCGACCCTCAAACTACTTTCGTTCATACATTACGATGTGCAAAGTGGGCAGCCAGGGAAAATGCAGAGTGCCTCCGCTCTGAGACGCCCCCTGCCACTGCAGTGAGGAGCAACTGGTGCCTGCAGCCAGGTGTCTGACTGACCCAGCAGCTTAGGAAACAGGCATGGACACACAGTGAAGGAAGAGCTAGCGTGCTGATCCCATGGCCAATCAGCTGCGAAAGGCGATTGGCAGGAGACATGCAGAGCCCACAGGCCACAACTGAGCCAAAGGGTTCGGCTCCCATTGCAGTACCAAGTAGACTAATGGGTTAATTCCTAATGGGTTATGCATGGCTGCTCCCTTAGCAGGTCCCAAGTCCAGTGTGTAGCACCACCTGCGCTAACATTTCCATTCTGCACAGACTATCCAAGAGGCTGTAGCCCTGAAAGGTCAGAATATATTGTTAAATGTTTGCATGCTATGGTTTTAACTTGTGCTTAATGAATCACCCAAAAAGCTTTGGCTATTATTGGGTATAGGAATGTAACTAATAAATAAGTAAAATATGATCACCCATGATTGCCTCTTGAGCTGCTTCAGATCCAAATCTATGCTGTGCCGGAAGGAACAGGGAGTCCAGCCAAGAGCCAAGTGATCCCCTGGAACTAGGGATGGGTGATTTTGGAGAAGATGACCCACTTGCACTGAGTGGACTTCAACACACTTTGCTGATTTGCAAACTGGGAGCCAGCCAAGTTGCTAGAATCTGGGCAGGGTAAACCAGGCAAATCTACCCAAGTTTAACCCCAGATGGCTTTGACATGGAATACTACATGGATTCCCCACTGAGGGTTCCTTTGAGGGTTTAGGGTGGGGCCAGCTGCTTTGCAGGTGTAACATGCATCATAATGAGGCAAATCCGACCTGTGAATGGGCCTCACCTCTAGTTATCCCAGCTAGTGATGTGAGATGTAAGAGCCAGGGTGGTGCAGTGGCTAAGAGCATGGGACTGGGACTCAGGCAATCTGGGTTCTAGTCCCCGCTCAGCCATGGAGCCACCTGGGTGACTTTGGGCCAGTCACAGACTCTCAGCCCAACCTACCTCACAGGGTTGTTGTTGTGGGGCTAAGATGGAGGAGGAGAATGATGTAAGCTGCCTTGAGCCCTTTGTAGGAAAAAGGATATAAATCGAAAATAAAATATCATTAAATTATCATAACCAATCCGAGGTAGAAGTAGCATCTTTATCAGTACATGGGGGTTAGGATTGGTGGACACCTGGAGCCCACCTTTCTGCCCTTCTGATCCTTCCAGACATCCCAAGGCACAGAACCTACAATAACCTTCATCAGAGCATCAGTTGGTTTCATATCACCCCAGAATTTTGTTTCTACACTAATATAACAAACCAAATTAACACTTTGATTCTCCCTGGGGTGTATTTGATAGCTCACCTGATGATGTCTCCTTTAAGGTTCTATGTGAATCCTTAAAATGTATGAAAGCTATAAGACTTGCTATAGTAGAGCAAGAGTTAGAATTGGTTCCCTTCTTAGTAAGATACTAATGTAGGTGACAGGAAACTTCATAGCTGTCCTGGACCGACCTCTAGTGGTAAAACCACCATGTTACATTTTATATAACATACACAGAAAAAAATCAGCTGAATATACCTGCTAAATACAAATTCATGTGATGCTCTAGTGAAGAATTCTATCCTGAGTAAGTGAAAAAGGAAGAAGTACACCTTGTAAATCAATTAATTATACATGTCTAGTCAGGGAAAGAAAGTTCTACATATCTAGGTTTGCACCCAGAGGTTTAAAAACCAACTGGCCAGTTGCATCCCTTGAAATAAACATATGTTGTTCTTGGACACCCTACCAGTGATGTTTTCAAAGGGTTAGAATCACTTTAATTCTATCCCTTTAAAAATATTCTACCTCTTTTTAAAATGTTTCACATGAATGTGAATGCCAGTTTAAGTGTAGGAATGCACACACTTCCTAGCTGTGAAGCCCTTGCTGACAGAGAGTCCTTTTTTTCAAACCAACCAGCCCTGATCTATAGGACTCTTGAAGAGCCCCTGCTGATGAGGCAACAGATTTCAAAAGGTGCAGATGCTTTCAAAATGCCCACGTCTGTGCACTGCGGTGCTGGGAGCTATCTTACAGAATGATTGAAATGTTAAGTAAACACTGCATAGCACCTTCTGGACTGCTGCAGAGATTGATCATCTCCAGATGCACATAAAACAGAGTTTAGTTCAACCGCAGGTGCCTGGAACAGTTCGAGCAACACTTGTTGCCTCCGTGCGCACACGCTTGTGTCCTTGTAATGAGCCGGCTACATAAAATGCAACATTACCAGGGTTCCCTGTCAAGTATGACCTTGTTGCTGCGAGCGTGATTCTTGTGTACAGCGCCAGACTTTCCAAGGTTGGTTCAAAGAAGAGTAATGGTAGAGTATTTAAAAAAATAATAATAATCCCAGATTGATTTGTTACTATTCTGTCATTTCCATTAATGGCTTCATAGAGGCCATTAATGAAAATGCTTTTAAGAGGTTTACTCCATTTGCTAAACTGTTTGTAAACTGTAAAACTGATTTCCATGTTTAATGCAGAAAATGTTTGTGGTTGCTTTTCCTCTATTATGCCTTGTTTCTTGGATCTGTTGTGAACTGCCTGTAAAGCTTCAGTGATTAGGTGGTATGGAAACCTCACAGATTGTTGTGAGCATTAAATGGAGAGGAGGAGGATGCAGAAGATGAGGAGGGAGGGAGGATGGACGGACGAATGGATGGACTTCAAGTTCCTTGGAGAAAAAAGGCAGGTTATAAATACAATAAATGAATAAATGCATGTATCATTTCCTTTGCAGAATAATTGTTGAGATGGATACATTGTTTATACCAAATGTGGAATTAGAAGATCAGGGAGTCTACACCTGCATAGGCAGTACATCTCTTGATAGCGCTGCAGATGATACCCGTATAACAGTCCTTGGTAAGTGAATTTTGTCTTTGTGTTTCCAAACTAAATATTTCTGCTGGTTTAACTCCTTCTGGGACAAAAGCCTTCCTTAAGTGCTGTTCAATTCTCCTATGGATTACATCCTGAATTTTAGGACCTCGTTGCAAAAGAGTCAAATTCATTAATGTGTGTGCACATACACATTTACACTTGTCATGTATCAAACAATGGGATGTGTGGCCTCTTGTTCTCTAAAATGGCCAAAAAGCATAGATCACTGTGTCCAAAAAAAATGGTGGGCTACCAACTAACATCTTACAGTTCTGGGAAAGCTGTAGAGCAAATAAATTGCTGCAGAGTGCTAAATATTACAGGTCATTTTATGTCTGCTTCAAAGCTAAATGTAACACATTTATCCATCTACATTGTTTGTTTGTTTGTTGCTGTTGTTTTGCTATTTTTGAGGAGTTATTTGTTATTTATTTATTTATTTATTTATTTATTTATGGAGTTATATCCTGCCTTTTTCCTACAAAGGGCTCAAGGCAGCTCACACCATTCTCCTCCTCCATCTTATCCCCACAACAACAACCCTGTGAGGTAGGTTGGGCTGAGAGTCTGTGACTGGCCCAAAGCCACCCAGTTGACTCCATGGCTGAGCGGGGACTAGAACCCAGATCCACTGAGTCCCAGTCCATGCTCTTAACCACTACGCCACACTGGCTCTATTTGTTGTTGGTGGTTTTGAGCAATGGAGGGAATGACTCTTTGACCTGACAAAGTTGCTCAGTCTTGCTTTGGAGCTTTCCAGAACCTGAATGGCAGGCATTTGAATGTTAAGCACATTGGGTTACAAGCATATTAAAGGTATTACCCTGTTGTGACCTTTCAGTCATTACTCTGCATAAAGGTCATATGTGGCAACTTCGGAGGGACATTTTTGTACTGGCTACATAGCATTTTTCCAGCATGTAACTCAAGGCAATGTACACAGAGCCCCAGACAATCTCGCATCCAAAGTAATAGCCAGACGTAGTCTTGTTTAGCTTCAGGAAGTTGTGCTTCCACACTCTTTGATTTTTACATGCTTCAAAGTCACCAAAGGTGACACCCTAATATCCAGTATTAAGAGTTGACTGGAATTGGCGCAGCGTAGGGCCACAAGGATGGTGGCCAGATTGCAGGGAAAGCCGTATGAGGTAAGACTGAGGGAACTGGGTCTTTTCAGCCTGGAGAAGAGAGACTCTGGGGGGATCTGTTGGTGACGTATAGGTACGTGAGGGGGTGTCACATGGAGGTGAGTAGAGACCTGTTTTCCCCGGCAGAGGAGGGCAGGATGTGTTCCAGTGGAGCCAAGCTCAGGGAACCAAGGTTCCTGACAGTCAGGACTCCTAGGATATGGAATGGGGTTCCACGGGAGGTGGTTGCGGCCCCCTTGGTGAGGGTGTTCAAGACATGCACATGGTGGGCATGTTGTGAGAAGAGCCGGTTGGAGCCGGGGGTCAGACTAGATGGCCCAGGAGGCTCCTTCTGACTCGTTCTGTTTCTATGACTGGGCATGAAGAAGAAATCACAGAGTTTCAGGTAGCATGACATTGCTAACCACTTTATATGAGCTCTGAATTTCTCCCTGTAGCTGTCTTTAGGCACCACACTAATTCTTGCCTTTTGGGGCTCCTTCCCTTTCCATCCCACTAAGTGTTACAACGGCCCAGAGTGGTACCCTGACTGTGCAGAGGCACTACAAAACTGCAGTCTCCTTTTCTTGAACAGAATTCTCAGACATTCTATAATTCTGATGCATTCTAAATGTAAACAAAAACAACCTTCACCTCCCACCTTCCCTTACATTAAAATTGTACTTGGCGGCCCCTCCTGCCTCAGAGCTGAAAATGCTGTTCCCAGCTGTGATCCTTTTAGCTTCAATATATATGTCATTTCAAATCTAGCTCCCAGACCTCCATGTTGTGCTGCCTTTTAAAGACCCAGCTCTGCTATTTTTAACCACCCATAAAGAATTACATATTTATGTAGAATCCTCTTCTGCCTCTGCCTTGTTGCCTTCCCGCTACCAGGATGGCAGCTTAATAAGAGCCCTGCTGTGGAGTGCAATTTGACCTTTCCTGGGCAGCATTTCCAGCTTTTGAAGCAGTGATTTCTTTTTCCTCTTTCTTTCCTCTTTCTTTTTTTCCATCTACCCTTAAGCAGAAAGAATTATCATGTGCCATACTTAGAAAATAAAAATAGATTAGTCTCACCCCACTTGCAGGGCAGAGAGGGTGCCTGAAATTTCTCCTGGCTTGGAGAAATCAGCCTCTTTCCTCTGTGCTCTGACCTCTAATTTCTGAGTCTTTATTGCTTAAGACATTCATTGTCTAAGTTTAGACAATGCAACAAGCCATAGTGGTCCTTTACCATTGTTGGCCTGTCATGTTTTCCTAACTCAACACGATCTATTTCATGTTTAGGAGACACAATGAAAAATGATGGTTTGTTCTATGGTTTTCTGTACCACCATGGCTTATGTCTTATCCCAGGGTCGTAGTTTCCAGGGCCATGGAATGCATCCACCGCAGGCTGGGTTCAGATGTCACGACAAGCAAACCTCTGTGGTTTCCATGATGCACAGTTTTTTGGTCTGGATGTACCTGGCAGATGATTATGTGGTTTCTATGCTAGTGTGGTTTCCACCCACCTTGCTTTGTCCTCCCACCATTGGCATGTATCTCATGAACCACTGCACCAGAAATTTAATCCCACACTGGATGGCTGGGGTGGTTCCTGCAACAACTGCCCCACTTCGCAGTTGATTCTGTGGTAGCTCGATACCAGGGCCATGGAAACCAGAGTGCTGAGTTCAGACTTCCAGAGAAACCGAAACATGGAAAACATAAAACAGGCCATGGTTTGCTAAAAACCCAACACACCATGCTGAAATACCATGACAGGGTTTGGATGACACCACAAATCATCCTGTGCAAGAAACTACCATCGCTTTTTATCCCATGCAAATCTGCCCACAGGGTCCCCTGGAAAGCATGATTATTCTGGGAGTCTTCCAGCCATCCAGCCTTTATGCTTGGACCAATGAGAAAAAGGCAGGCAACATCAGCAGGGATGATGCACCTCAAAACTGAATTTCAGCCACGGTGGGAGGACTAAGTAGGGAAGATGTGGAAGCCACTTGATCAGCTGTTGGGTACATCATGGCAAAATAACTGGAGCTGTTCTAACTACATAGCATTGTTTGTTGTTATGCGTGAACCCAGCCATGGTCTGCTCATGTCCCCTCACTCATGGAAGCTGGCAGCCCCTTTTCAGAACATCGGCAACCTCCAGGTTATTTCTTAAGTTTTCCGGTCCTTTTTGTGGGATTTTTAGACTAAGAAAAGCACAGGATTCCATTTTGGAGTACAACAAAAGCCATATGCAAAGCTTGAAATTCTGCTACACTGAAGATATACCACAATCCCACTTTGTTAGTAGTCTATAAAGGCAGATAAATGTAAATCCCAGGAAAAAATCCATATGAAGGGCACACTTTTCCTCCCACAGTAAAAGTGGAAGAAAAAGTCTCAGTAAAGCAACAAGTTAATCTCCTTATGTAGAAAAGCCCCATGTTCCAGGGACATGATTTCTTTTATGCACAATCTGTGTATATTCCTGTGTATGGTTCTAGTTACTCTTCCTAAAATAGGATATTTTAGATTTGGAAAAAGTGCAGAAAAGGGCATCCAAAATGGCCAAGGTGTTGGGCCAGCTGTATACCTGGTGCTCAGAAACTGGAAGAAGGGTTGTAGCATTCATGTAGCATTCAAAATTTAGGGTGGATGCCAGGAAGTACTTCCTGACTGTTAGGGCCCCAAGGGTATGGAATGGGCTTCCTCAGGAAGTGGTTGAGGCCCCATCGGTGAGGGTATTCAAGTATAGGCTAGACATACACATGGTAGGCATGTCATGAGTGGAGCCAACTGGAGTTAGGGGTCAGACCAGATGGCCCAGGAGACCCCTTCTGACTCACTCTGTCTCTACGTTTCTATGTCCTCCTTGTGGGATCCTGCAAGAAATTAGTTTGCCACTGTGTGAACAGACTGGTGGACTGGATGGGCCCTTGGTCTGATCCGGCATGCCAAGCCTCATCACAAGGAGGCTGCTCATTGCGGAATGGTAGGAATGATTGACCTGCTTCAGCACATTGAAATTGAGGCCCTCCATGAATGTGGGGCCTGGACCGAATGGTCCTTCTTCCCCCACCCCAACATTGATAGCCCTGCTATCTAATTCTGCTGCTTGTTGAGAAGTGGTCTAAATTACAGGTCAAGTATAGTCACAGGCTGTGTCTTGGGAGCAGCCCACCCGTGTCCTCCACTTCACACCTGCAGGGATGGCTAAAACAGGGGTGACCCTCTAGAAGTTGTTAGGTGTGCAACTCTCATCAGTCTTGACAGTTGATAAGGGGCCAGGGCTGATGGGAATTGGACCTTGACAATCTATGATAAAATCAGAATTATTCTACCTCCCCCCCCCTTTTTTTTTTGTTAACAAGAGGGAGAGAACTTTTGTTCTGCTCCCTGGATTCCAGCACATTCAAGTGCCTCTTATGGCTGATATTAAAGATTTATTTATTGCCCTCTTTTCCTTCTCTTACATAGTGCTCTGCCATTCACAGAACTAATATTTCTCATACTTCCCAACTACCCTTTCATTTTTAAACTTTTAATACTTTCTAAAGCAGTGCAAGGATCGGGCAATGTCACTTTGGTCCTCCAAAATGGATGCCAAGGTATTTGTGTCAGTCTGTAAAGCACGAAGGTGTTGGCTGCAAGGCATGTCAAGAAGAGGAGCAATGCCCTGGCTCATGTGCACGCAGAATTTGGGGGCCTGGCATGCACCCACAGGCTCCTCCCATTCATGTGTACTTGAGCCAGGTCACATGCAATAGCCCTAATGCCAAATACCCAAAGTATCTTCAGTACTTGCTTTTGAAACACCTTTATACCAGAAGCCATGTTATGTTTTTCATTCTGATGGTTTGTAGGGTGCTTTTTGGAAGTACAGCATTATGGATAAATTATTCCTGTATCTCTTGCTGTGAGCAAAGCCCTGCGGCCAAATGCCATTCTTCCTGTTTTCTTCCCCAATCATTTTAGATGCTCCTGACCCCCCACAAGAGCTCCACCTCTCAGAAAAGCAGAGCAGAAGTGTCAGACTGTCCTGGAAAGCTGGAAGCAACAACAATAGTCCAATTAATGGTAAGGCAGATTCATTTTGCTATTGTTTCCCTAAAGTGAGAGCAAGTGATCTAGATTGAATAAAGAACCCTAAAACAGTTGCTTAATTGGTTTTATTGTTGAAAGGGTTTTGTTGCTAATTACTTTCTTCTATTCTCATATGTTTGATTCCAAGAATGTCTGTTTCCTCAATTCACAGGCATTGCTTGCTGTATCTTCTCTCATTTTCCTTTCTAGAATCTATTGTGGAATTTGAAGAGAACCAGTGGGAGCCTGGAAAGTGGCAGGAATTAATCAGGATACCGGGAAATGATACTACAGTAGTTTTGCCACTGGTCCCTTACGTAAAATACCAGTTCCGTGTCATATCAGTTAACATTGTCGGGAGAAGTCAGCCCAGTGAACTTTCAGAACGATACGAAACACCTCCTGCTGGTATATATTATTTATCACCTGTTGCTTATATTCTGTTATACCATATATGAAGAATGGTATGCCAGGTTGTTGTTGTAATCTTGCCTATTTGTTTTGACTTTTGCAAATTCTAGGTTCTTACTAATGCAAACCTGTGAATGTTGGTTTCTTTATTCATTACATTTTTGTACTGTGCAGTAGCTTAAGCTAGCCGAAGTAATTCTGAAATAAACCCCTTTGAATTCAGTGGACCTTACTCCTGGGGAAGTGGGTAATGAATTGCAGTATTAGGGAACAATCCTATTAATTGCACCTAGCTATTCATAAGCCCCCAAATTTTGAGGAATATGAGCATCTCCTGGAGAGCAGGGAGAGTGGCAAAGGCAATCTCTACATCTCTCACTCTGCATTTCAGCTGGATGGTTAAAAACAGGGGTCTCAAACTCAACGTACCTGGGGGCCACTGGAAGAAGAGTCTGGGTGAGGCTGGGCCGCATCAAGTATTCCACCACCGCGGTGGGGGTGGGCCGCTTATCCCGGAGGCCGGCCTGGGCGCCGCCGGCGCTTTGAAGGCCGCAGGGCCCCTCCCCTGTGCCCTGCCCGTCCCGGCAATGGGCCTGCGGGCCGCAAGTTTCAGATCCCTGGTTAAAAATAACCATTTGACTGAAGTGCTTCTGGGGGGAGGAAAACCTTCCTCTTCTCTGTCTCCTCCCACCCCCACCTCCTCCATCCCCACACCAAGGCCAATTTCCTGATCTTGGAAGGCAGATGGAGCAGTGCTTTCCATACTTGCTGTGAGGTGTTGTGGATGCAAGCACAGATCTCCAGCTCTGAGGTCACAGTTCCATTTCTGACCTTGCATCTGGCAATGCAAATTATCCTATGGCTCTCAGATGCTACCTAGGGGCCATAGGACCATTCTTTTAGTCCTTTTAGGTTAACCTATGGGCTGGCTGGGAGATGATAGAGAATTGTTTGCTGGCCATTCCTGTACTGCTTGACACTGTTGTGAATACAGTTATTTGTAAAACACACACACACACACACACACACACCTGTTCAAAGTCCATGCTTCTCTTTCTGCCTGTAAAGCATCCTTTCTGGTCTCCTCTGAAAGCTTTATTTATTTATTTATATTGCGATTTATATCCTGCCTTTTTCCTACAAAGGGCTCAAGGCAGCTTACATCATTCTCCTCCTCCATCTTATCCCCACAACAACCCTGTGAGGTAGGTTGGGCTGAGAGTCTGTGACTGGCCCAAAGTCACCCAGTTGGCTCCATGGCTGAGCGGGGACTAGAACCCAGATTGCCTGAGTCCCAGTCCCATGCTCTTAACCACTGCACCACACCGGCTTTATGATTCAGCCAGCCTCAACCAACACGCCTAAAGGTCAGGAATGCTTGGAGACATCATTCAAAACATCTAGCAGGACTCAGTTTGGAGAAGCCTCTTCCAAAGTGTATTCTTAGGAATTGATGTCCTATTCAAATGGCAACATAAAATTGTTCAAGGCCATGTTCCATACAGAAGATAAATTCAAGCCTGGGCTGCATTTGGCATACTGTTTAGCTACCAGATGTGAACAGGATAGAACAGCCCTTGAAACGGTATGTAGGAGAGCACTCAGAATGGTAGTGGATCTGGATTACTTTCCCTGTAAGGAGAGGCTAAAACAAGTTGGATTTTCCAGAGTGGACAAAAATAGATGCCTGAGCAGGACCATGAAGAAGCAGGGCTGAGATTTCTCCAGTTGTTTTTCGACTGCAGTGTGCAGCATCCCCGACCATTGCCCGTAGCAACTTGAACTTCTAAGATTCCTCATCATGCATAGCATGAAGAAAGAGGACAGATTGAGATTCGTTGTGATGTAGCCTCCATCGTCAGGATGCACTGAACGCCAGGTGGTGGCAGGGGAAGAATTTGTCTACATCCCTTCTTATTGGCTTCTCGTCAGCATTCACTTTGCCACTACCAGGATGTTAGATCACGTGGACCTTTGGTCCAGTCCAGCAGAGACCTTTGCATGTCTCCTGACGTTAAAAGAGGACTGGAATGCCCAGTGGGCAAGAGAAAAGAGTTTTGAAAAGCACTGTCAGAGTAGTCTTTTGGGAGCACCTTCTTTCTTTGCTGATGTGGCTGGGGCCATATATGCATGATGAGAATATAAGCAACTGGTTTTAATGAAAAGACAGAGGTATTACTGCCACCACCACTTTGAAGATGCATGCCCTCGTCTGTCAGGGTTTCCTTTGAAAGGGACTGCTTCACCCTGGGACAATGATGAGCATAACCAAAATCAGCTACAATTCCTAGAAAAGTTAATGTGGAGCTTTTAAAATTCAGCCTGGCCTTTTTGACTGTATGTGGGGGCCTTTTCTGGGTAGAGACCTAGCAAGATTTATTATGTGTCCCATAGCAACACCAGACTTTGGACAATTTCTGTTCACAACCAATTTCTCTTGGTTTAACATGAAATAACCAGCTCCTGAAAATACTTTGAAAGAACAGCTGTTCTGTAAGGCTTGTTCATTTATATTCTCCTAACCTTTTTAATGCTGTCTCTGCGCCTTCCCCAGCTTTCCAGTTCTATGCCTCATACTAATCATACACCTTCTGTTTTCCCAGTCCCATGGGCCATCTCTTTAGAATAATTCCATTAACATCTGGCACTTTGTGAAACTACCATTTAATTTTTATGCAATCATTTTCACCAAAATGACTGAAACCATATCCTTTGCATGCTTTTTTTCCATTGTGTTTTTTATACAACAATTGATCACAGTATCCAAGGGTGTCCTAGGCTTGATGTCTGTACTTAGGTCTCTCATAAGACAGTCCTTTCAACGCACCATGTCTCTGCTATTTGGAATTAGTATCAAAAGGAGCCCTTTGTGGTTAACTGCCTAAGACATAAACAAAAAGGGTGGTGTGTTGCTGAAGCTGGTAACTTAACTGCATTGCAAACATGGAATTTTTCTAAGCTTTTCTTAAGTTTATTACTGCCTTTTTGGTGCTGTATTATCATTATCAGGAAATCCAATTCATTAAGAAGACGGTCAATCCTCTATAAGTGCAAGCATATGGGGAAAAATAAGAGGCTGCTTAATTAAAATATTTTTGCATTTTATTTTGTTGATGCATAGCTCCGGACAAGAACCCAGAAAACATCCGAGTTGAAGCATCTAAACCACATGAGATGAACATGACATGGGAGGTAATATCCTGTTAAAAGAAATTAAGGCACACAATGATCACACATGCAGTTCCTTTATTAAACATATTAAGCACAGTCGGACTTTGAAATAAGCATGCATAGTACTGGATCAAGACCTAAACTACCTGCTACTTTCAAGATAGGGGCAGCAGCTACATCTTTCTTTTTTCCTTTAAAGAAATTGCAACACCTCAAATCTGTATCAAGACACTATTGTGGAGGGCAGGGGGCTTAATACTTTGCCCCACTGTGAGCCTAGCCCATGTTCCTGATTTGTGTTGTTCACTTGCCCTGTGATTTTCATTGCCCAGTGAAAATCGGCGAGGGGAGGCTGATCTGGATGGGAACGACAGCAGGGAGACCCTGTTTTAGGGCTTCTGTTATTTCTTTCCTTAAAATAAGAAGTAACAGTGTCACTTCTTAGAACATCTTCGGAACAACATGCAGCTTGCCCCTGATATGTGATTTCTCAAAATTTCCTTGGCATACGAGCAGAGGAGTAACCTAGGGAATAGCTTAATATTTGCTTTTCCATTTTATTCCTGCTAAAATACCACCTTGCTTCTTCCTTGCTATTATTTTCCTACCAAGGTTTCTGTGCTTCATACTTCCCTTGTAAACAGCATGGAGCTACATAAATAAGAAGGTCTAAAATCCACGACCATCACATGGAAAGAATAAGCTCCATGACTGGAACAGACCTCATCTTCCCACCCTGTTCAGGAAAGGAGATTCTGTCATTACCTACCACAGCTTCTGGGTGGAAAATAACAAAGAAGGCCTGCAAATTTGCCCTCTGGCCTTTGGTTTTCTGTGAACTGATGCTGGCAGCTTCAGTCATATAATTGCCATTGGTTTGCTTTAGTCACATGGTTCCTGGACTGGCATTTTCTATCCAGCCATTGTAGTAATTATGTCATCATGTCAACTTCATTAATGTTCATGTTGACTTTCCTGTAAATCACAGCAACTAAACTAGCCATTCTGGATTCATAATCGGTCTGTGCACACACTGTTTTTCCTCATGAAAGTACAATGCAATTCCTTATTTATACAAGGACATCACTGGACATGGAGTTTTACAAAGAAACATAAACTAACCGTCCCTTTAGTCCCTCCACCCAACAAAATAAAATAAATAAATAAAAATAAGAAGCTCTGGCCCTTTCCCTGAAGGAATTTACAATACAAATTTTGACAGAGGGGAAATGGAAGGGAAGGAAGATTCATATTACCACTGTATAAATGGATCCTAGCTAGAAGAATGCCTCAAACAAGTCAGGAAAATAGCACTATCAATTATCCATTAAGTTATCCAGACCTAATTTAGGATTTTGTTGCCGTTGTTGGAGGTTTAATGCTCTACAGGGTAATCTTACATTTTAATGGTCAAATCTGCTATGGAACATTAAAATGAATGTATCATACACACAGTTAATACTTTTTTTATTTGAGCTGATTTTCATGGTAAAACAAAAGCAGACTTCCTGCAAATAGAAGAGTAATGTCTCCAACATAAAAGTATATGATTTAATAATCTATATGCTTTCAATCCATCTGTTTCATTTCTTGCACACTTTTGAAAAACCACAATACTCTTTCGGTTATCTTAAGATCCTTTTTGCGACTTAAGTTAATTTTCCTGTCTTGGAGAATGATAGCCAACTCTTCTGTAAAATGGCTTCTCTTTTAAGCTACAGGGTTTTTTTTTCCATTTGAACAACAACATGTGATTCATGTCGGTTTCGTCTGCAGCCTTTAAAGCCCATGGAGCACAATGGACCAGGCCTGGAATACAAAGTGAACTGGAGACAGCAAGATGTCGCTGAATGGGAAGAAGAAACGGTGCAAAAACATTTCTTGGTATTGCAGAACACCCCCACCTTTGTACCTTATGATATCAAAGTCCAGGCAGTGAACAACTTTGGGTCTGGTCCTGAACCCAATATAATAACGGGCTATTCAAGCGAGGACAGTAAGTAGTGGGAAAATCTTTATACAATGAATGTTACATGGATGATTTTCAAGCTCAGTGCTGAATGGTGAAGAAACTTGTAGAAACTAGAGCAGAGGTTAATGTTCCCCACACAAATCTTTTCACAGAGATATTTGTGAGCTGAATACACAGGGGAGTTTGGTGACTTTTGCAGGTTCTTTGAAATACATTCTTTTTCAGTATTGCTCTCTCTCTTTCTCTCTCTCTCCCTCCATGCCCATGATTTAAAAGAGGGGGTGGCAAGTGTGTATATGCCCTTTTTCTTCTTGCTGCTTGCTTATAGCAGACATAAAGTTTTCCTGGCACTTCAGGCGGCAGCAGAACTGTAGCCAAAGCAGCTCACCAGCATTTCTGTTTGCGGGAGACTGGCTCTGGCCCAATGGAAGTGACACTATCCCGTGACAAGACATATTTGTCAGGGCGGGTGGTGCTGGTGGGGAGATGGCTGCCTCTGCTGGTCCATTGGGAGTCAAATGATTAAAATGCCAGTGGTCTGAAATATGTAGCAGCACAAAGCATATGCCATCATTTACTGAGACATGCCAGGGCTAGGGCAGCGAGTGGCAGGGCTAACTAATGCATGGTTTTGGAAAGAAAGATGGAAAACTGGTCCTAAGTGATTCCTTTCATAATAAATGATGCAACTTTTCACTTTAATTGAACTTCATGTCCTGCCCAGGTAATTAATTCTGATCTAAGGCATATTGCTAGGCATGTTCAGACAGAAAAGAGTCCTCTACCCAGCCTGGCGAGGCAGGGACGCTGTCAGGAGTGCCACACGCCAATATCTTCATTGCCCAGTTGTGACTGGAGGATTTGCTCTGATAAAAGAAATGGATCCATCATAGTTTTAAAACATCTGACCCAGATCTCCTTCTGCTCAATATCACTCTCCTGAAACTTGAAATAGACAAGATTTCCTTTTGCCATCTCAGCATCCCTGAATTATATGTTACATTACTGCATTAGTCAATGTTAGCTATATCTTCTTTCCTGCATTCCCATTATAAGCACTGCTCTCATAAACTTCAGTGGCAGATTTTAATATGATTGCAGAGGAAGCCAGAACCCTAATAAAATAACCGCAAGTATAGAGCATGGCACAAAGGAATTGTTTCTTGTGTGAAATACAAAAGACTGGAAGCCTCAGTTTCCTGCTGAAAAAAATTGGGCAATAGTCTTTCCAGAGTCTTCTTTGCTGTTACATTGCAATTTTCCGTGTTACTTTTATCTTATTTAGAGAATGGAGACACATGTACTCTATATTTATACAGAGACATAAAGAGAGAGGAAATCAAGTCCTTGCTGCAGTGCTGGATATCACATTCTTTTGCAAACGCAACAACTTTAATGGAGAAAGAAAAACAAACAGTGCCCCAAACTCAAAGCGTTATATGGACTGAGGATTAAAACCACAAAAAGAGGAAACCCTACTATAGCCATTTAGGCTAGGAGATCCAAATACCCTTGATGTGAATGGAATATGCACAGTAGATTAGTGCTTCACAGTGGACAGTGATGATGAACACTGTCAACAGCTTCTACATTGTTTAAAATTATACGGACAAACTGCGATGCACATAAGAATTATTATTTCAGCCAGTCAGCAGGGCTGATTAGCAAGCCATGCTAAAATTGTTGGGGTGGGCCCAAAATAGACCCAAAATATTGCATAGAGCTTTTGAGACATTTCTTTGCAGCCGGTGGACTCTCTTTAGAGTCTGATATTCTGAGCTTTCACTGAAGAAAATTCTAGCCCTCATGCTTACATGATATAAACATTCAGTGTGAGTAGGTGTGATCAGTGCAGGATGCCAGTGATGTGCATTCTAATTTCTAGAGAAATATATGTTGAGCCACAACTGGTGGAATAAAATTGTGAACAGTTTCTCCTTCTGTAAAATAGATCCATCCCTTGTCTGAAGATGTTGTTACAGGGCATGGAAGGGGTCTTGTTGCAAAGGCTGGCAACAGTCCTCACAGGCATTCATGGATTGTCCTTATGCTGCAGAGAGTTTCTGCCCTCTGTAATGCACAGATTAGTATCTGGCATTCATGGCTCAGGCCTAGAGAAATGTACAGCATATGAGGCACGAATTCAGCCTCTGAGTGAGAATCCTCATGGAGCCAAATCCACACCGTCAATACACAAGAAGCTTGGGGTAGCTTCAAGGCTGCAGAAGTAGAGACAATATTTACAGAAAACAAAACTATGCTGTCTGGGGCAGCTTAACTTGTCCATCTGAAGGATTAATGTTTGAGACTCTGATCCCTTGACCTTCAATCTCTTCTAAAAGTGGTCTTTCCAAGATAATGAATTGCTGGCTATCATTTTAAACTTTACATGCCCACGAGCGCAAGTTCAGGACTTACTGTGCTCAGTGTCTAATCCATTCCCTTCCAGTTCCAGAAGCGGCTCCTTCCAATGTAATAGCGCACGTCATCAACAGTACTCTGGCTAAAGCCATCTGGTCTACAATTCCCAAGGACAGAGTTCGTGGGCATCTCAGAGGCTATAAGGTGATTATTGTTCCTTCCCTCTTTGCCTTACTCTGAATTTCACATCTTTGTTTTAAAAAATAGGACAAATATGACCCGGATAATTCCTGGCTCAGTAGTAGCGTTATGTAGAGCCCTCCACCTCCCCATAACTTCTTTCTCACTCTCAGGCCTGGCCTAGGCTGAGCTGGGGACATCCACAAAGGCCTGGGGATGTGAGCAAGCTCCATGTTTGTGCTACATTTCAGATCCACTAATTGTGCCACCATCTCTGCCAGCCCAGGTATGAGGTGCTAAAGATTTACAAAAGTAAACACCCCTTTGGGGCCTGTGTGACATGCACAGTACCTCGTGCAAATTATGTCATAATTATTTGTGACATAATTATTGGTATAAATCCCCTCCTCCTCAGTTCTCATCCTTAAATATTTCAGTTATGGGTCATGCTGCACACATGCAACATTTTCAGTTTTAATAGGATCGTAATCAATACTCTGCAAACATCCCAAGAAATCATGTGCATTGAAACTGCATTTGCTCGGCTAACTCCATCCCTCTTGCTCAGTGGTGGAGCATTTGCAGAAATCCCACAATAATCTGTGCACAAGTGAGAATGCCCACTTGCTCTGTAGCGCACAGCACTGGATCTGCACAAGCCTTCGATGTTTGTGTACCTGTTCTGTGCAACAACAGACTTGGCTCCTTTGGACATCTGCACTGACTCTTGGTGAGAAAAAAGCAAGTCAGTCAGAGGGCAGAGGGAAGCGGAGTCCAGGGAGCCACGTGAAGAGAATCCAACAGTTTCTCATCCCAAACCAGTGGTTCATGTTAGGCCTTCCTGCTGCAGGCAGGGATGCGTGAATCAGCAGAGATCAAATTTATCAAGGTCATCTTGAACCTACTCCCATATCGCATTGTGAGCTTTGCATGGTATCCATCTTTAAGTCAAACAGCACTGGCGGAACTCCAACACATCTTTCTTTTGTGCATGTGTAATGTGCCACCAATTGCACAATGGCTTGTGCAAGCATAATTCATAGCCGGTTGCACCATGGGCTGTATAAGCCTCAGGGACAGCTGCTTGCCCAGCTGCAATTGCAGAAGCTTAACTTTTGTTGTAATCAACTCTTGAACATGATTCATGATCTAATTTCTGCAAGGGTAACATCATTTGCTTACTGGAATGACACAGTTGATTGTTGGTCTTTTTTTTTCTTCTACCAGAAACATTTTTTACTTATATTTATGTGCATTTTCCCAAAGATATGCATCATTTGTACACATAAACCCATTGATTAAAACATGTTCTATGCACATTTCCACACACACACACACACACACACACACAAATGTATGCATTTGTGATTATTTTTTAATTTGTTCCACAAATCGCATCATGAGCTCAAAAAGCCTTCAGCGGCAGATTGCATTCAAGATCATGTTCACTTTTGGAAGGTGTGAACTAGGTAAATTCTGAAATAAATTCAGACTAAACTGAAACAAATTTCTCATACATCCCTACTGCAGGTCAGCTGGTGGAAAGTACGAAGTCGCCTGGATGGGAAAAGTCATCATCCTGAAAAACACTCCTTGACATTCAGTGCAGATCGGAATGACGGAATGATTCCTGGTCTAGAGCCTTTCAGCGAATATCACTTAACAGTTTTGGCTTTTAATTCCAAAGGAGCTGGCCCAGAAAGCCTCGCATATGAATTCCAAACCCCAGAAGGAGGTAAAGAAAGAGAAATAAGGGAGATGAAAAAAAAAATAGCCATCATTCATAACTGTAGTTATGTGTGTGATGTGCTAGCAGTCTTCCCCCTGTCTGGACATTCTCACTGCCAGAGCAATGAAATTATCCACTTTAGATTGATTTCCTGTGTTCTCTGTGCCCAAATGTTTGCTCATCGTACCAGCTGGACCAACAAATGCAGATGAATGATTGCCAGTTTTGCAAAAAGAATTACAGCAGTGGCACATTCACTGGGCTTCACACAGCCACTAGTGTTGTGCTTGATATGAATATATTTTATACTGTTTTCCTTACCTGTATGTCTCTGAGAACATAATGGGTACCTATCACTCAAGAGTAAGATTAGTTGAACTGTGTGATATTCAGCTTCAGACATTCAAAATTGCAGGAGGTAAGACTGGGAAAAGAGCAAGAAGCCTTAGTCAGAGGCCCTATTTCATACATCTTCCTAATAACTGAACCCCAGGATGTCTCCACCTGGGGACAGGTGCATCAACACCAACACCTGCACTACGTGACGGTGACAGGACGCATGTATAGACCCATTTCAGACATTTTGAAGAAGTGGGAAACCTGGAAGTCCAAATCTTTCACACTTTCTCTAGTGCCTGCAAATCCATGTGAGGCCTCCCCACACACCTGTGCGCTAAATCTCAGGCAAAGCACAAGGAAGGAGATAGACCTACTGGGCTCTGCCTGTGAGGGTAGGAAAGAACACAAACTGTTACGTAAAATAAGTGGTTTATATTTGCTTATTGATTCGGCACAATTGTATATTTTGGTTGGTAACAATGCCCCACTGAATCCAGATTTTCTCTGGATCCATGTAATGCTATCCACTGCCTGTTTTGAACCATTAGTTAGTCTGGATTCTGAGCTTTCATTAAATAATAATAATAATAATAATAATAATAATAATAATAATAATAATAATAATAGCTGTTGTTTAACAGAAAGGATTAAACCTTTATAGAATCCAAAACATGCAGGCCTTACATTGCTCAAATGTTTTATGCGAATGGTACAAGGTGTGATTTTGCCCCTCCCTCTCATTGTGTGGAAGAAAGACAGGTGAGGAAGGAGTACTCCAACAGAATGAAGCCTCCAGACATCCGGAAACATCAAACACGAGCCAGTGAAGGCAGCATGGAACAGACAGGTGTCTCTTTGCTCGCCTTCTAGTGGGCAGGCTATGATGGACCAAAATGAGCAAATTGATTGGTCAGATGCCAAAAGCAAGCTGGTATTAACCAGCAGGATCAGTGGGATGATATCCCAGCTGTCTTCTGCATACAAGTGGGTGCCTATAGCTAGCATTTGTGTGTAGACATGTTGCATATTCCATTTAGGTGAGTTAATAAGGTTGTGCTTCTTTGGTCAAATAACATCCCAGGTCTCCATGCTGGTGGTGAGGCAGACGGGGACCATCCTGCTTTGCACCACTGTTATCCAGTGAGTCCCAGCCACATCTGACATTTAGAAAAACAGTGCTAACCACAGAGACCAAAATCTTGGACACACCTCGAGATTTCTGGATTCATTTCAAAGTATTCCCTCCGTGTGTCACAGGCATCTTTCATTCCATCTCGCACCCACTTGTAGACATTTGTTCTGCCTCCACTAACTCATATTTGCATGAACATGGGCTTGCACACATGCAAGTGTAAATTGGCAGAGATCTCTCCAAAAATATGAAAAAGTTCAAACCTCCTTAACTTTCATTTTCACACTTTCGCCTATGAGGGGAGAATGCACATTTTTTATTTATTTGTATTTTTGTATGACTAAATTTGTGTACAGCTTTGAAAAGAATAGAAAAAAATCCCAGCCTGTATAATCCATGCAACCCAGAAGGAAATGTGGGTTGGATTTGCAGAAATCTGAAGTCATTTAAATGTGTTTCACAACTCTCCATCATTCTTAGACATGCTCATTGTCTAGAGGAAGGGTCTTCTATGGCACAGACAAAGGATTTTATTATAGTAAGATTGGGCAGAAGTTCATACTCTTCCTAAGACAGATCTGAAATATGAGCGTTCTGCCAATGAATATAGAGTGGACTAGGGAAAGAGAGATGGGGAGAGGGTAAGAAGAGAATAAGTTCATTTAAGTCCCTGCTTCAGACAGTTCTGTGAAAGGAAAGGCAGTTGATCACAGCTGATGTAAGGCACCTGCCCTGTTTTTCCACCTGAGGCCACAAAATGGAATAACTCTAGGCAAAGACTTTTCTGGGAGGGAGAAGCCAAATGGCAGAACGTACTGACTCCTGTATAGGCTGTCCAACAGCCAATAATATCCAGATGTTGTACGCCAGTTCCACAAGATGGTCCAGCTGGGCTGGTGAAGGAGTCCTGCCCTTTTGAGCCAGCGAGTGGTACCGGTAGCACTTGGCCCTCCCTGATTCCTATAAATATGGAGAAGGGCCTTTGGGAAGTTCACTGGCATTGATGTCCTAATTCTGGTGGTGCCACCTTTTCTGATACGCCCTCATGCCTGGCCTGTAGCCGTCTGAGCCCTTGCTCCAGATTATTCAGCACACAGCTCTGGGACTTTGGCTAATGTGCTCACTGGGGGTTTGTAGAGCCAAACCGGGTGAGACTTCAAGTATACCCAAGATAATAAGGTGCATCTCTGTGTCTGCATGTGTGTGTTTTGCAGTCCCTGACAAACCATACTTCCTGAAGATACTTAACTTTGATAAAGATTCCGTAACACTGTCATGGGGGCCACCTAAGAAGCCAAATGGGATTGTTACTGGATACATTTTGCAGTACCAGAGAAGTAAGTAATGAACAATCTACTTGAATGTATTGTTGAAAAAGATGGTTGTAATTTAGTGATCAAATTAAGCAGAAGGACCATGTTATGTCAGTTCCCTTGTTTACAAAATTAATTACCTGCTTTTCATTATACAATAGCCCCAAATCAGGGAACCAAGGCAACATAACACAGTAAAATCAAATAAACATAGACAGATAAAACAGGGATAGACAGAAACAGAGAGAAATAAGAATTTAGAAGGTACAGCAACGTAGATTGAATGAAAATGCTGGTGAACAAACACGTCTTTGCTTGAGGCTGAAACTTTATATGACTCAGCACTGATTGAAGTGGGAGGAAATTGCATAGTCAAGGAGTACCTGTATTGAGAAGGCATCTTTTGGATGGCCACATATTGACCCCCAGAAAAATGTGGCACTGTCAGGAGAAATTTCACTAAGTCTTAATGTATGAGCACATACCCAAGGAAGAGTGTGCTTCATCAGGTATCCAGGTGCTCAACTTTCTATGTCAGCACCTAGAACCTATCCTGGTAGCTTATTGGAGGCTACTGCAACACCTTCAGAACTGGCATAATGTGATCTCATTAGCTCTCAGATTGCTGCATTACATGAGGCTTGCAGCCGCTCAGAAAAGCTTCCACATATAAAGGGCCCTGCACACTGAAGCATGGGGCTACCAGCACATGTATTGTGTCCAGGCCACTCCAGTCCATGACCTACTATGGTTGATGTGTCAGCAGAAGCTGAAAAAAGGCTCTCTGCATTGTGGAAGCACTTTGTGCCTCTGTCGACAGTGCTAGATCACGGAGCAGGATTATACATATGTCTTTCAGAGGAAATGCAGACCCATTCAGAGCAGGGAACTGCGCAAACAAGAGAGCCACCTACCTACAGTGTCTTTATCTTAGTTAGCATCATTCAGTGTGAGCTTACTGTCATCTCGCCCTGCAAAAGATCTAGACTCAGGTCCGGGTTCTGTACAGGCTCTCCTGATGTTGGGGATACAGAAAGGTAGAGTTGGGATTCAGCAGTACATAGATGACACTTTACTCCAGTTCTCCCAATGATCCTTCCAAGTGATGTTTCATCGATGCTGAATAGCATGAGGGCCAGAAGAGAACCCCAAAGGACCCACAGCTTAATTGCCATGAGTTCCTCTAACCCGATGCTTTCCTCTAGGTGCAACCAGGGAAATAGAAGTGGCACCACTACAGCACTATGGTCCCAACTTCAGGCACCCAGAGCCACTCCAGAAGGGTACCAGAGTTAAAATGCTGAGAGATCAGCAAGGTCACATTTCCCTTTCACTCTCCCAATTAAGCTCAACTATTAGTACATGCAGAATGATTCAGCCAAAACCAGGCTTGAACCCAGGTCTAGATACAATTTCTTTGAAGAGCATCTGAAGCTGCATGGCCACTACTCTACTGAGCACTCTCTGGGCTGCAGCTGTTCAAGATCTCTGAGACCACTGTGGTTTTCTTGAGAAGGAGATTCATTATCACCTCTTCTAAAGTACCAACCTTCTCTGCAATGAAACATTTGCCACAGACTGCAAACATCTGGTCAAGCTATTTTTGATATCCAAACATGTTTTGAGTTTAGGGGTAAATTTCTGGAGAAGTAACATGGTTTAATCTAGAGTTAAAGAGATTGTTCTAAAATTGTTGTTACATCAGTTAATTGTTGTAAGTAATACTACGTTTGCACATAATTTTTTATATTCACATGTTGAGGAAAATCAAAGTATTTATCATCAGACTTTTATCCACCTTTCGGGAGATTAATCTGCATAACATAAACATGTGTATTGTATATGTCATGTAACCAAGCTCAGAAGATTACATGCATTCTATGCAGGCTAAATGGAGATGAAGGTCACCTTTGTGTTCCCCCTCCCCTGCAAAATTGACTGTGGATGTGCCTAAGTGGGACACCTTGCAGCATGAGAAAAGGAAACTGAGGTGCTGCCAGGATGCATTGTCTCTGGACGGCAATGGTCTCCCCTCCCTGCCCCCAAAGCCCTTCTCAAAGTTGCACTTTCCATGTCAACCACAATGGGTCATTGAGTATGGAAGCCGGATTGAAGTCCTGGTCTCCAGCTATGAGGTTGGAGAGCTTTTCTGATGCAATTCCATGATTGTCTAGATACAGTCCAGTACCTTTGAGCTGCATATTTACAATTTGGGGATGTAGTGATGTATGAAGCATGTTTGTGACTCAGATGCTGGTGTCTGTCTGAATGCTATCTCTGTTTCTCATTCTTTTTCAGTTAATGAAACAAATGACATTGGACCCTTGCATGAAATCAATATTACCAACCCTTCATCATTCAGCTTCAGGCTTTCAAACCTGAGCATCAGCACAAAATATAAGTTCTATGCAAGGGCCTGCACAATAGAAGGTTGTGGGAAACCGATAACAGAGGAAGGAATAACAGTAACCAAAGGCAGTAAGTTAAAAGTAGGGCTGAATGGGATTTCGGTGAGTTTAATCCCACATGAAAATTTGCAGGTTCTATCATTATGTGTGTTCTCCTTATATGCAACCTGGATTCACACCAATCACAAGCAGAATAAACGGTGATAAGTCCCAAAGGGCTGATATATCAGGTTGCACAGCGCTGCATAGTTCTGATCGTCTGCTGTGAAAATTTCCACTCTGCCAGTTTGTCTCAGTTTTTAAAAAAAAATTTGGTAAAATTGTTTCTTGTGATAATTTTCATGGATTTACTTAGTTTGTGAAGCTTTTCTTTTCAGAAAGCCAAAGGGCTGAACTGTATGCTGCTGTTTCTCAGGATGAAAAAGGAGCTGGAACTTAAACGTATAGCATGGAATAGCATGGGATGAAGCTGTTCCAGAATAAGGAGTTGTGGACTGCAGTCCAAATCTGCACTCAGTTAGCTGTGAACATGCTTTAAATTAGAATTATTCAGTACATATCTCTCATGCTGAAAACTGGTGATTTCAGAGCAATAAAGCATACAGCCAAACACTGCATTAGATTGTAGCCCTCAGGTATAAAACTATGACTAACTCTTCCATATTTGCTTCAGGCAGACCACTACTTTTGTCATAGCAGTAGGCAAGAGTAAAAAACATTTTTTAATCGTTCAACCACTGTTTCAACAGAGTTCAGTGATTTACTAGCTGGTCTACTTAACTTCAAAACTACAGCTCCATTAGCACAATTACACCTGTCGTGCTCAGCTAAAATTCCATGAGATGAATGTCTTGGTCCATCCGCAACGCCAGCCTTGTGAATGAAGAACCAACTAGATATTAATTGGTAAAATTAAGTAAGATTGGCAAACCAATTTGCCAGAGGGAATGAGAGAAGCTGAAGGTGCCCAGGCTGATCCATGTGGATCACCTGCAACAGCAGGGCTGACATGGAAAAGTGAAGCCATTTATTGCACTTAATAGAGTACCTGATTTGGATGCGGCACATCCCATCCTGGCCACAAACCAAGACTGTGAGACACTAACAGAGGCTGAGCATGCTAAGATAAAAGAGGTGGACAGAGGGCACGGTTTTCTTGAATGTCTGATGAAATATCCTGCAGTACCGCTTTTTGTACAAGATATTGCCTGAACCCATCCAGTGGAATGATGATTTTATTGATGCCACATAACTGAAGTCTTTCTTAGGGGAAGATTCTCACTGGGTTCAGCCATCCAAGCTGCTTGTTTTGTGGGCCCATTCTGCAGTGCCTTTCCCATGATAGACTATGGTCCAGTCTGAGTAGGCAGTGGAAGGTAAGTCAAGTAGCCAAGCCATTTGGCCAGAGCCTTGGACAGTATGACCTTTCAAGAATAATGAGCACAAGAATAAGAACCTCAACAAAAGAAAATGACAGGTGCAATCCTCATTCAAGAAGCAAAAGTATTTGAGCCCAGACCCTGGACTAAAGAAAGGAGAGAGACATCAGTCGTTGGATTATCTGAATACAACAGCTTTGTTAAACTTTAAATATAAAGGGATCTGCAAGGGGGTTACGTTTTTGACACTATATAGGATATTCCTATCCTCTGGTGGAGTATTAATCCTTTGGTAGAAGGTACGTTCCTCACGGGAAGATGAGCCTCGTAGCCTGAAGCTTGACAGCAGTTGCACTTTCCTGCTCATGACACACCAGCTCACAATGTGGTCCTATCAACAATAACCCAGTTAGTTTTAGTTGTGTGAGAATTTAGAATGTTCTCCAATTTAGGAAGGAAGGAAGGACAGAAGGAGGGAGGGAGGGAGGAAACATTCAGTTCTGGATGGGACAAAAAGGCTTCCCTCACCACCTTTAATGACCTGCAGTCATGATTGGCTTTTGGCTTGCAACCTTAAATTGCCCCCTTCTGTTTCTTAGCCCCATAAAAACTTATGGAGCCATCAGTTCTTCTGAGGGTGTGACAAAAACTGTGAGATGTAATCAGAATGGAGGTGAAGGATGCCAGGCTCCTGCTGGTCCATAGTAAAGCAGCTTTAATGAGAGCAGGAAATAAACACTGTGAGACTTCTTTGCTTGAATACTTCAGTTTTGAGTGCTCTGGAAAGGACATTCAGAGGCTGCAAGACTCAAGCATGGTTTTACTCTATGCAAGGCTCAGACAAACTCTCTTATTATCCCTGGAAATGGCCTTGAGGAACAGGTCTGAGCAAGCCAAACTCTGTTCTTCTTCTTCTCTGCCATGTGCGCCAAATCTGGATCTGTAACTATTTAGCGTGAGCTGAACATTAATTAGTGGTCACCAATCACACTAACCACCATTCTTCAGTGTGCATAGAGTAGAAAAGAAAAAATCTGTGGTTAATTGGGGTCCATAAGGGAAAATATTCTACCTGGCTTCTGAAAGCTGTCCATCAGGTACACCTTGCTAATGCAAGGAGAACTGGGGAAGGAAGATGGGAGACCAGGCAGAATCAAATCGGCACCTTCAGTCACCATGTGACTATGTCTGCTGATAATACTGGGAACTGCTTCTATGGAGAAACTTTTGCATGTCTTTAGCAACCCTTAGAATATGCACCTCTTCCTGTAAATTCTATGGACTAGGACCATGGACATGCCTTTGAATGATGCAAGAATCCAAGCTGACCAGGCCCACTTTGGAGTTCTTCAAGCACCTCCAAATACAAGCCAACTTGAAGTCGAAGCTGTCAGAGATGAACTGGTCTGCTCTTCAAATTTAGGGCCCAGTCAGAGGGTAGTAGGGCTTTATCGTATTTTGATAGATTTTTGACCCTCCTGGAAGCTCTGCAGGCTCTCCATATTGTGAAGGAAGTGGCTAGGAAAACCTCTCTCTCTCTCTTTCTCTTTCTCTCTCTCTCTTACACACACACAAACACGAAAATCATCTGATAAAGCTGAATGATTGGAAATTCAGGAGAGATGAAAGAAAGCCCTTCTTCACATAGCACACAGTTATACTATGGGATCCATTTCAACAAGATGTATATATATTGCTGGCCACCAGTTTGGACAGCTTTATAATGGGATTGGACAAATTCATGGAAAACAAGACCATCAGTGGCTGCTTGTCCTGCTGGTGATATGCTGCTCCCACTATCAGAGGCAACATGCCCATGAGCACCAGGTGCTGGGGATCATGGGCAGGAGGATGGTGTTGGACAAATACCCCGCTTGTTGATTTCCCATGCGCAGCTGGTTGGCCACTGTGGACAGAGGAGAGTGCACAGTTTTATCCCTGTTCTAGCTGATAATCAGGGAATTAGTTTTCCCGGGGAATCCCATCACAGTCCTCTTGGAAGAGCCATTAAGGTACGTATAGCAGAGTACCTTTTCTGCTTTTGGGAGTGCTTGTGGCACTCTACTGCTGACTGCTCAGGGGACGGCGGACACCTAACTCACCAGTTGTCCCCTCGTGTGGTTCTCTGCTGCTCAGCCTGCCCCTTGAGGATTGGTTTTGTGGAGTACCACCAAGACTCTTTCTGAATCAAACTCTGCCCTGCTTAGCATGGTCTCCCTGGCTGTCCAGTACAGGAAAGTCAGCACAGGAGCAGAGGCCACTGGGAGTATTTGCTTTTTTATATCATGTTATACCAAACCCTGGACTTACCTGTCTGAAACATTCCAGGCAACTTGGCTAAGCACACTTCTGCGTAGTGTTTCATATCCATACCCATTACTGACAGAACCACAATGCAAAGCCATCCGATCTATATAACACTATCTTTCTCCTGGTGCGCCTGCACATTTTATCTAATTCTACAAAAAGAAAAGAATAGTTGCAGCCATTTGTTAGTAGTTCCCATTTTGCTAAGTAGAAATGTGCCAACTGCTTGAAAAAGTGTTGAACCTCTGCTTCTAACCCGGGCCGAAGGACAACTTCATTGCTGTGGTCCAGGCTGAAGTAACCCATTGCCTAAGTCAATTACATGAGTCAGTGAAAAAAAAAGCTTTCTGTCCATGACAGTAGTAACCATGAAACAAATCTGCCCTAATTTTTCACTTGTTGCATTAAGTTGTTAGTCAAAGACAAGATTGCCAATCATTCATGGTAAGTGTATATCATAACAGATGTCTCAGCCTTGGGGGAGAATAGTAAAATATTTTATCTTTGGGGATGGTTTATCTCATTTTCCCCACAGTATCATAAGTTCTCATAAATCTTCAAACCCCAGTGAAATCTTATGAAATTGCAGTTCAGTGTTTAATGTTCATTTGAGTCCCTTGGTACATCAGAAAAATGAGAAATGCTAGTGGCCTGTTTATTTTATTATTGCTTTGCTCCTTCTGTATATTAAAAAATTTAACCCAACTGATTTCTGTTTTCTAAAGCTAATACCTATAGCTCAGTGACCTTTTAGTATATTGACCATACATTTTTTTAAACCAATGTGTACTTGCTTTCATTTTTCAGGGTTGTCCATGTCTCTTTTATTCTGACTACTATGACATAATTGCATAGACTGTCACCAATAATTTGACTTCTGTAGGCATTGCATATGGTCACACAATGATGCCTAGGTTAGTTTGGGATGGGAATGTTATCTAGATTCCTCAGTGGGCTTTTAAGCAGTTGTTGATACAGATCTGCCAAAGAACAAATGTTTGAACTTGTGTAGTATTCTTTTATAAACCAACTCCCACTTCCCATATTCCCAAATTATGTGGATGTTGAAGGGATATCAGCATGCTTCCAAGAAATCTTGACATCTGTATCATAATTTCAGTGGCCCTTGCCCTCTCTTAGGATTGTGTTGAGCTGGAAGTGGGGAGGTGACCAGCATTTGGTGCCCATTTCTAGCTAGGTATTTCACAGAAATGCCGAAATAAGCCTAGAACGACCCCCTCCCCCGATTGATGAACTAGCTGTAGGGCTGCCAGTTGCTCAAATGGAACTCTGCAAGCAGGCGAAGCTTGTGCAGTGTTGTCTCTCATGGTGTGCTACCTTTGCACTGCAGATTCTTGCACACAGTGTCAGCCATACGGGCATCTGTCATAGGCCCCCTCTTCCACCTCATCCTTGCAGCCAGCTTGCTCACCTGCCTTTTGCTTTGGCCTAAACATCAGTGGTGGTGAGAAACAGGAGCAGTAGCTTCCATTGCCTATTCTTTCCTGGCTTTCTGCAATTCAGGCAAACCAGTGCTAGCAATGGTGAAAAAGAGGATAAGGGGGAAAACCGGATAAGGGGAAATAGGAGTTGGTCACCGTGGTGGAGAGAGAGAGCCCCAGAAGAAATGGTCACATTATCTTGCCCAACAGCCCTCAAAACCCTGGAGCCAGGAATGACTTCACACCCTCCAAATCTTCTTGGAAGCTTTGGGGCATCCCCCAAAGCATATTTGGAAGGTGGAGGGAAGGGAATTCCTCTTGTGAAGTGGAAGCAGGGGGCTCAGAAGCTGCAATGGGGAAATCTCAGTTATACACATGGTCAGGACATTGGATCTTGACTGGAGGCTGCAGTCTGGAAGAACGCATGTGTCAAAAATGAACCGAGAAAGTTCTGATCTCACAAAAGGACACCTGACCACTTTGATTTCCCCATGTCTCTTCTGCCTAGTTATGCCCCCTCACTTTTGTGAGGATGCACAGGTGATGCATTTTTAGATCACAAATTTACAACATACTCCTTTGCACACCTAGTCAGAAGAAAGACCCACGGAGTTCAGTGGGACTTATGGGCAGGTATGTAGGCACAGAATTGTCACTTTATGGAACAGTCCTATGCATGTGTACTCAGTACTGAGCCCCACTGAAGTCAATGGCACTTCCATTCAAGTAAATGAATGCAGGATTGCCGCTTCAGGCATTTTTCCACCAGGATCACTGGATACATTGAACAAATGTTCATGAACCTTCCTAACCTTTTCTTTCAGGTTTAGTGTTGTTTCATTATCTGTGCATATATTTTCACCATATATTTAACAGTATTTTTCCATTTCTATTCCACTGTGTCATCACAGAGAACGGTATACTATATTTAGATTTTTTTCCTCATGGAGTTCATTTGTGGATATATTCATGAAATATCCTGAATGCAGAAAAACTCTCACTGATACATCTTCAGCATTTTACCATGACAAATTAAACATGAATGCCATCACAAGCATAGCCTGAGGGATGATGCTTAAAGCATGAGTTCTATTAACCAATCTCTCTAAAAACAGTTATACCAATGAGTTGAATTTGGTTGTGCATCTAAATAGTTGCTATGAGCCTGAGAATGTGGGTGCAGCATTTACTGCCATCTTTAATAGAGAAATTGGAGACTTTTCCTACATTTTGTTTCAGTTTTTAATCACAGGTAGCTGACATTTTCAAGTAATTTGCATAATTCAGTATGACACGAATTGGCATAATAGAATTTGATAATTTGGTTGTTGGGCTGTGGGAAATGTTTTTGTTTTGTTTTTTGCCTTGCCTTGTTACCTTTTTACAGCATTTTATTAAATATACAATGTAAACTTTGTGTGTTCATAAAAAAAGACAGAATGAAAATATGGCCTGCTGCTAAATTTGTGGTTTGATTACAAAATGTAATTTCAGCTTCACAAACTTCATTTAGAAAAATCTACTCCTCCAGATACTTTTAATTATGTTAAAACCTTTTGCATCAGATTTTGGTTTTATGCACTGATCAACATATTCCTCTAACTTCCTCTGGCAGTATAATAATTAAAGCACTGATTATAATCGATGGATAATTGTCTTGAAAATGCATACCATGTTCTGCTTCCCTCCCCCATGTTGATTGTTTCTTAATCTTTTCTTTTTCTTCCTTTAGTTGTCTTCTGAGTGCTAATTTTTCAAATTTCTTGTTTGCTTGCTTTCTAGTTTGAGAACTAACAATTTCTTTTTCATGGTTAAAAGTAAAAAATGCCCTAAGAATTTGCAGGCTCTGCCATATGTTTATATTAATACAGAAGCACAGACACCCTATTCAGAATGGAATTTGGAAGGTATACTAGATATACAAAGAAAGTTAAGCAAATGAGACCATTTAATCAGAGGATCAATTCATCTGTATGCCTTGTCAGCTGTTATTGGTAGGGTGGAAGTCAGGATGAAGGAAGGGATTAGTATACTTCTGTCTGTTGAGGGAAGAAAAATCGGCCTTTTTGGCAATAGAAGACATGCATATCTCTTGACTTTATCTAAATATTTTTTTCTGGGCCATGGCATAGTTGACCCTGGAAAGGTTGAAGATCCATAGATCCTCAGCCACATTCACTGGCATCCCTTCAGGGCCCTTCTACAAATTTGGAGTTGATGGCCAAAACAGTGGCTTATAGAATTCAAAAAGAGGAATTTTAATAAACACCTTGAAGTACCTTTAAACTCCCTCATGGGTTTTCCATCAGTTTTGATTTCCATCTGGTAAATTTAGAACATATATTATATGCCAGTTATAGATACTATTTAGATACTTTAATCTTAATGCTATCCCATAGTTCCTGCCCAAATGATCCAAATGGAACATGCTAATAATGTTTGCAAAATCGTGTCCCTATTTTCTGACAGAAAATGCCAAATATATTCATGTCTGTCTGTACTGATTATGTAACTTTGCCTTCCAAGGCCCTATTTCAGTTCACATCTTTGACTTGACTCTGTACATTCCATAGGTAAAGCTGTCGGGAAGATTTCTGAAGCACTAAATTCCACCCCAAAGACTCAGCCTCTTGAGGCACTTGAGCCTGGCACTGCATACACAGTTCGTCTAATGACTAAGCATTGGGTTGATAATAATAGCATTTCTGCAGATGTAATTGAGACAAGGGGGAGAGGTGAGAAATTCTTAAGGCCTCTAAGTGGAGCATGATTTTCTTAAAAGCACTATTATTTTAAGTTGTGTTGGAGGGCATTATATGATTAAATTTTAACAATATAGAACCCACTGTCAGTATTCTTTGTGTGTGTGTGCGTGTGTGTGTGTGTGTGAAACAGCCGGCATCAATACGAACAAAAGTGCCTCTCCGTGCAATATTCAAACCACTCTCTTTTGAGGAATTAAACCATGCTTGGCCTTGAGCATGGAACATTCTGATCATTTTGAAATGTCAATCTCACTATCACTGGTGTCTTTGTAAAAAATGGAGGTATGTCCTTAACTAGTTCCATCCCACCACAGTCTGCGGGTTTACCTTTACCAGCACAATGCATATAAGAGGATCCCTTGGATAGAGGATATCAATAACCCCCAAATCCACACTGACAGAGAGAGTAGGGTAGGAGGAAGGAGAAGTGAGCCAGCACCTCCCTGCCATAACAGACAACGACAAGGCCAAGGTGTGTGTGCCCCACTTTCATGATCACATTTGGTGCTTCAGATTTGGTGGGATACTTAGAGTATGTGGAAGTGAATCCTAGCAGAATAGATGTAGGTGAAGTCAGTAGAGGAAAGAAATGATGTTTGCATGAAACATCCAGTAACCCCCCAAATGAGGTGCCAGTTTAAGTCAGACAATGTAGCAATGTTTTGGGAATAGGCAGTTATCATGGAAAAGGAAACAGGCACTTGTCCAGAAAGAGATTACATACAGAATAAAAATAAGCAGCAATATAAATTCCTAGGACTGTAAAACTGGAGACAGATGGGAGGTGAGATTATTTCAGTATACCGCAGATTCATATTACAGAAAAAAGGCATCTTTGCTGGAGTTGGAAACAGAGATAAAGCAAAGAGTCAGTTCAGATTTGTGAACATTTCCTGAACCTTTCTTCATGGGAAACTTTGATTTAAGCTTTGACTGTTCAAATAGGTCAAACATATTTTTGACAAACCATTTTTAATGGGGAAGGAAAGATGGTTTAGAAATCTGTCTATTGTGGGTGATAATTTATCACTCCTATTGCCAGGTGAAGGCTTGGAAATGAGGTCATCCATTGCTTAATTATTGTGCTGATTTGCCTAGCATCCAGCTCATTCTACTGTTCTTCCCTGGAACTGCCCCCAGTTGTGGGTTTCCATCTTTTTACCATTTTTGTGAGTCTGATGCTGACAAGAACCAGTGGATTTACTTCACTCATACTCTAGAGTGAGTGGTTTGAGGATTCCAGTCTAGCGTTCACATTCAGGTTTGTGTGCTGTGTTTGTTGCCTCCAAAGATTAAAGTGAAATAAATTAAAAGATGACCAGTGTGTATTATTTGCATCCTTTAGCTGCTGTGTCAGTCCAGGACGGCAGGTCCCTTATGTCTTGCACTTCTAATGCCATTTGCTGAGCACTTGCATGTGTTCTGTACACTTTTTAACTCTGTCTCTATTCCCCAAACTGCTTTTGCATGACAGGCTTACCTGAGTGCCATATTGACTTTCCTTTTTGGCATGAAGCTTTTTAATCAAAAGCTATGTTGGGATTCCCATTTCAAATCCCAACAGTGTGCGCTGCAGGCTCTTTCTTTGCTTTTAATATAAATGTTTAGCCCTACTTCTACTCTACTAGGAATGGTAGAATCCATTCCTGTACAGCACCAGGTATTAGAAGCATTTTAACTCATGCAGAATTAGTTTTCATTGGCTATTCCAAGCATATCGGTGGACTTATTTTCTTACCCATATTTCTTTATTTCTCTTCCAAAGCTTATGCTGGAATTTATGAAAAAATCTCTACACAAGGCTGGTTTATTGGACTGATGGGTGCCATTGCTCTGCTTACATTATTGTTGCTCACAGTATGCTTCATTAAAAGGAACAAAGGAGGGAAATACTCAGGTAAAGAAAACTGCTACTCGTAAATACCCTTTAGTCATGTGCACGCCCCGACTCATGCACACACGCCAAGGCCTCTTGAGCGTTCCTATAAAGCGTAATGAAAGAAAGAAATGATGGCCTGCGTATAAGTTCCAGCTAATGAGGGGCCTTGTGGGACTTTAGAAGCGAATTCTCACTGCCTTTCTCCTTTCCACGTAAGAGGAGGGTATGTTGTTTTTTGCTTGGGAAAATTGGGGGAAAGCCCAAGAAAGCCCAAGTCATTTCCATTTTAGGGCAGACCAAGCTCAAAGGAGGCAGAAACCAACTCAGAATAAAGCCAAGGTTTGGAAGCTTTAAAAACTTCAAGCGCTCCACCCCCACTGGAAACCTTATAGCATGGTTAACTTTAACAGCTTTTTGAATAAGTAGTCAACTTATTGATACCTCTGCTGTCAATAAACTGAACCTCTGCTATGTCCCATTTATATATCTGCATATATGGATATAAGTTTTATCCATACCAGTGCATATGACGCTGTCTTTTTGTCCACCTACCTCCTGCAAAGTATCCTTTGGGGGAAAATGAACCTCTCAACCATGTAAAACGTGTACATTCAAATGTTTAAAAAACAATTTGTTTTAGGGCTGTAAGCCTACACAAGCCCCAAGACATCTCAGTTTGCCATCTTTTATTGCTGATTGGACCTGAATCCAGTAGTGACACATCTCCTTTCAATGGCACTCCTTTTCCAGAATTGTTTCCTGGACTCTCTATGGCTGAAATATTTAGGATATGTATATATGCATTTAGTATTGTGCATTAATTGCATAAACGGCCTATAGTGTGTTGAATAGTTTTAATGGTGGTAAGCTGTCCTTATGTGGGGGCACATGTGCATGTACACACACATGAAATCTGGAAGTTTAAAAAGTGTAATGTGTTGCAGGATGAACCAAATTTAAGATGGGAAACATAAGAAAGTGAAGGGCATGGAAACTTCCAGATTCATCCATTCCTTGTGAGGATTTAGTGTTATGATGTAGACTTCAGGGGATGGGAATTGCAGAGTTAACTAGCATACGCAACATTTAAACCAGCACATAGAGAGGTTTAGGTCCAACTGACTGAATAACACTTTTGGGACTTAGTCAACTAAAGTAGTTCTACTATCCAAATGCATCCATAGGAAGCAAGTTATTTCATTGCTGATGAGGATGACTGATGTCTTCCTGAACCTGCTAAAATGGAAAATAAATAAGCAGTGAAATCCCTAAAAAAATGTCAATAAGTAACTTCTTTTGCATGTGCAGTGAAAGAAAAAGAAGATTTGCATCCTGATCCTGAAGGCCAATCCATAAAAGATGAAATCTTCGGTGAATATAGGTTAGTGAGCTGTACTGTTTTTTATAATAATGTGGGATTATGATGAACTACCTTTTGGAAAGCCTTTTAGTAAGAATGCCACAGGTGAAATATTTTCCCCATTTCCAAAGCAAATCGCATGAGATTATATGATAATATGAAGTATAGCAAGAATTCTGAAATTCATCCACAGTTTGCTGTAGTAGAATGGAGCTCAAATTTGATCATTTTTATCTAAGTTCCTTGAAATATGTTAATAGTGTTTTTTAGAGAGATTAGACTTGGAAGCCATCCCAGGGCATTACCTCATAGACCGGTCCCACTGCCGCTATCTAAGCTTCCCAAGTGCATAGCAGGAGGCTCTGACTTGTATACTAAGCTACAGAATTCAGTGCACAGCTGCTTTCTGTCAGCTGAGGAAACGCTTCACAAATGGGGATTTCCCATCATGCATATGGACAATGCTTGCCATAACAGAAAAGAGATAATCCCCTATGCACTCAAGAGTTACCATCTGACTGTTAGCTGTGTAATGATCACACATTTGCAATGAAGCAAAGTTAGGTCAATGCATTCTTGTAATTTCACCATTTATCAAAATGCATCTCACAGTGGTATATAAACCACATGCAATGGCAATTTCCTAATCATGCAAAGGAATGATTCATCATCGCAAACTGAAAGGGAAGTTTTTGACTAAATTCAAGTTATGTCCTATATAAGCCACAATTCATAAGTCCTGCATAATTCATGTATATTTAATTTTAATGCTTTCTAATGGGACAGATAATTAGAAAGGTAAGCAAGTCATCTAGGTGGTACTTTCAGTCCAAGGTGAAGTAGCTGGTTTACCTTCCTTTCTCAACTATCCGTCCAGTGTCAATATCATCACCCCTTTTTTGGGTTTTGTTCTTAGATGTACATGTGCTTGAAATCAGTCTATTTACCTTCCCAATGTACCCAGTCCCTTACCCAGTGTTTAGATGATGCTCACCAGAAGGCAAGATTTTGCTGTAAGCTGATTAGTTAACATAATTATTTTGTGTGCTTGTTTTAACTGCTTCGGGCAAAAGAAAGAATTATCAACTATTTGGTATCTTCTGTACTAGAAAATAAATTGTGCCAATATATCTATGTGAACATTTACGTTACACAATCCAGTCCTGATAAGGACACCAATTTGGGTGATCTAAGAAACCTCACTACCTTTTTATAAGTAATAAAATTACCTTTATATACGAAGAAGGTGCTTGGAAACCCAAGGGCAAAATAATAGATACAAGTTATTAAATCATGAATATATAATAAGAACAATATTCAATGAGCTAGATATTACTTTCAAAATTAAAATAGAATATACTACATCTTATTAATGCCTGCAAGTTGCTTTATACCTTGGTAAATCTATGGCTTTACTCACCTAGACCAAACTATATTCATTAAATCATAATAGCCCACTATAGATATTATTGGCTTGCCCAATCTTAGAAACAAAACAATTCAACACTTGCAGTTAGTGAAAATGGAACAGACAACACACACAGTATTTTTCCATCTCGAGTACAATTTGTTATCACAGAACTGTAGGACAGGTAGAATAGGAAAAGCTCAACACTTTTGCTCTCATGCGTGGAAGTGTTCCTGGGTGGATTCTTGCTTACAGAATTCTCCTCCATGAAGGAGGAAGGTCATTTTCACAGGTCCCTCTTCTTCCTTTAAGAGCCTACCCTGGAGGGCAGGGAATGGCCTGGAACAGTGTGGCGACAGAACCTGTGAAAATGGTCTCCTGAGCTTTCTGTCGGTGTTCTCTTACAGTCTCATCCGTGAGGACAATGAGCCCTTCTATTCACAGAAGTCTCGGTAGTAGCCAAGGGCATATCCCAATGCATGTTTCTAAAGAAAAAGTTCCGCAATGTCCACCTTCCCTCAGCCAGCAAGGGGGGATTTTTTTCTGTCCAAAACATCCATAGGATTGTGCCTTGGGTATGAAATTGTTAGGAGTGCTCAGAAAAATGTCCTGGACTGTTACAGATAAGAAGAGACAACATGTTTCTGGGTTGCATCATCTGAGAAGGAACAGCTTTGGAGCCCCTTTTTAAGAGCCTCCATTTTTATTTCAGTTTAAAAGCAGTTGCTACACAGAGAGAGAGGGGGGGCGGGGAGAGGGAGGGAGGGAGGGAGGGACAGAGAGGGAGAGAATTACTTGTAATAACATGTAACTGTTAGAACGAAGGAACTGCAGGGGAAAGCTAAGGAGGAGGAGGAAATTTCATTCACTTCAGTGCAAGAGCAAACTTCAGTGCAAGAGCACTTTTGAGTTTCCTTTTTGGGTTACCTTTGGAGTCAGCCACCATTGGCCAAGGGCTGTCATGATGTCTACATGCCAATTAAAAAGAGAGAAAGAGAGATTGCCATTTGCCCCGACCACAGATATATTGCACTGATACCAAAGTGTACGGCCATCACTTTAAGCAAGGATGCAACCCTATGCATATTTGGGCAGATAACAGTCTGGCGTCTTGCATCAATGACTGACTGGGGAAGGCCACGAATTGTAGAACTTTTCTCTTTCTTAGCCTGCATGGCCTCCTCCTCGAGTTGGATTGTCCAGTGATCCTGAACACCAAAAGAATCCCCTGCATAGCCACTAGTGAGTTCTTCCAACCCCGAGAACCGTACTCCCAGCCATGCTTTCCCTGCTGTTGCTGTCTGATCAAATTCATGCTTTTGATCCCTGTAAGTGTTTCTCCCTTTTTTAGTGACAGTGATGAAAAGCCACTCAAAGGAAGCCTGCGGTCTCTTGGCATGGACATTAAAGCTGCAGAGAGTGCTGATAGTTTGGTGGATTATGGAGATGGGGAGCACCGAATGTTCAATGAAGACGGTTCCTTTATTGGTGCTTACACTGGATGTAAGGAGAAGGCTTCAGTTGAAAGCATTGGGAGTTCTACAGCAACCTTTCCTCTCCATGCATAAAATAGTAGCATGAATGATTCATTTCAAATCACCATATTTATCTTTACTAGTCATCAAATATCATACAAGTCAGAAGTAGGCTGCAGAAAAGTACAAGACGTCATCAACATCAAGAGCTGGGTTTTTGGAAACTCTTCTTTCTCTTCCAGACATAGGCATTTTCATTCCATTAAAAGATGACTCAGAACTAAAATTGGGTAAGACATGCCACTCAGTCTGACCAAGCCACAGCTACTTCAGTGTTATATATGTATATAGGGATTGGACACCCTCCACGTTTCTCACCACCCAGTCCTATAGAGATGCACGGCGGCAGCAACGCTCCAACAGCTGACACTGAAATGGCTGATCTTGCATCTTTGGGTTGGGTTGTGGAGCCTACCTGCCCTCCCATCATAATGGTTACTCCCAGATATTGGATATGTGGAATTTGCTGGCATGACTGGCCCTGCGTTAGCCGGCAGTGCCTTTAGGATGGAATCCAAGCAAGTTGTGACCAGTCCTGCCCCTGCTAAGCCCCGCCATTATTCAGTTGGGTGCTGCGCAGTAATGCTTTGCCAGGCCAGCGCTTCAGCTCCTGCAATGGCGCTTTTGCTGGCTTGCTAGCGATGACCCACGCAGCACCGGTTCTCCAGAAGAACGGCAGTGCAACATATTCCGCTACTTGCACTGCGTTCTAAGTATGTGTTTGGCACACTGCCGTGAACAGGGTTGGGCCTTAAATTAAAATTTCCTCTTCTTTGTGTATTTCTGTTTCTCTGTTCTACATTTCAAATCCAATTCTCCAATAATGCCATAACCTCAGTATTATAGGGATCTGGCTTCAGACAAAGTCACAACAATGACATACAGCACAATATTATACAGTGAAATTACTTAAGAGATACCTTACATGCTATACATTATTTAATGTAAACAATGAATCATTCTGATCTAAGCTTTTGTATTCTGCTGTTATGTTAGGGGTTTGGAAATACAGCATGATCTATATTCCCACAAGATAGTTTCAAACTTTGCTCAATTTTCTATCTCTTTTTGCCCACTAGCTGGCACTCTTTCTTTATGAAATCATCTGTAGAAGTTTCTTCTGGTGAGAGAAAGCAGGCGGATGATTCAAAGTCATTGAATTCCAGTTAGTGCAAGCAAAAATAGGCCCTTTCCCCCTCAATAAGGTGAAATTGCTTCTTTTACAGCAAAGTGATCTCTTTAAAGGAAACTGTTTTTATCGGCACCCTATCTGTATATTTGTATGCCCACCTACCTTTTGTGAATTCTTGTACATATTATGTTTATATTGATACATTCAGGACAAAGCACACTAGATTTCTGTTGTAGCAAGACACAATGGTAGCTCAGAGCAATGGAGCTAAGAGGTAAATGGGTTTCTCTTGTCAAGTCCAGTTTATATGAATAAGACTCCTTTTCTGAACAAAAGAAATGTTGAGAAAATTTTCTACCATGCTGAATTTCTCCCTTTTATTCTTTTTTTCCTCCTTCAAAAAGAAAAGCATTCTCCTAAATCCCCAACCATGAATATTTAAAAATTAATTTGAGTCTCAACTTACATCCTATTGAATTAAAGCAAATGCCATTACTGAGAAAAGATCTTCCATATATGACTTCTCATTCCCAGCAGAGTTATATCTTCAGGCATGTCGAACAAGTGTTACTCAGAGCAAACCTTGTCTGGCAAGAGCCGCACAAAGGTGGTCGTGTTAATTATAGTAATACTGGAGGCTGTTGCATGAAAAATCTTCCAGAGTAACATACCTCAGCATTGTGTGTGAATGCATTATTAGTTTGCTGTTCAACCATAATTCACATTATTTGCTAGGAACGCACATATGCATACCATTAAATCGTGTGCATGCATTTTATTCAAAGCATGCATGTTGCTTTGGTTCACTGTTGAGATGATTGTGGATACCATAAAAACAAGGACTGTTCCTGGGCTAGCCCCATTCATTCTAAGCCTTCACTAAAAAGTTGGTGTCTTCAGAGGGACTCAGCTTAATGCAAAAAGCACCCTGGCAACTGTGCCACAGCCTCAATCACTTCAGGTTGATGGTTAGGGCATCTTGGGCTAGGGCTTATTCAGGAGTTGCTTTAGGTTCTCATCCCATCTCATTCGGTTTGTGTTTCTGGCTTGTTGCACCGTTGACAGAGACACTGGGCCACCAAGATAAACCTCATGTTATTGTGTATCTGCTGAAAATGTGGCATAGAGGGAAGAAACTTCTTTCATCCCAACCGTGACATGGTGTAAATTTAGACATGATCCAGCAACTCACCTTCCACTTGTGTCTGTGTGGTAAATGCAATTGCTGAGCCAAAGTACCATGTGCCTTCTGTGGAGTGGCTAAGCAGACGAGTGGAGGAAAAGCATCCCATGGGCTCTCTGGCTCACCATGTGATCTGCTGTTACACCAATGCTCAAAGTGTGAAGTTGCCAAAAAGACTCTAACTCTTCTGATGATCAGGGTTGATGTTACAAATTGGCCTGCAGGGACATGTTCTGAGGCCCACACTTCGGTGGGAAGAAGCAAAATAGTTCTGTAGCCCCCTGCCTCTTCCTCTAGGCCTCTGCCTCCTCCCTGTTCTTTACAGACATATGGAGTAGCAAGGAAAGTTGCCCTCTCCTTCTGGACAATGGTGTGGGTTGGACCCAGAAGAAGAAGGGATTGTTGAAGCTGCTGTGGCAACAATGGCAAGGAGAATGGGACCCACTTGTAGAAGGGCAACAGTTAAGGGCATCTTGCCCAAGAGTCACACAAAGCTGGGAGCTATTGCTGATTTGATTCCTATTACAGGGTTTATGCAAACAGTTAAACCAGATAGTTTACTGTCATGACCTGCCAACCATCCCCTCATAGAAACATTTGCTTTACAAATAGATCTGTCTTCCTTACGTTTTGCTATAAAGTCTGCTTTTACCTTATTCCCAGACATAACCACATAAATTTGCTGTTTCTAAAGCTGAGACAAATACTCTTAGATTCAGTTGAGGATCGACATAATTAAACAGTTTCTGAATGAACAAATGAAAAGGAGGGAGGGGACAAAGAAAACTCAAAGAATGAAACAAGTTGTCAAGGGATAGAGTTCTACCCCTTCTGGCTCCTTGGCATACAAATTTTCTACATGTACATTTTTTGGTTGGTTGTTTTAATTCCCAGCACACACAATCTTTTCCACTTACAGCCCAAATGTTGCAGCAGTCCATGAGCATTTTTCCATTGATGAATTACTTGTCTAACTCAGATCTACATTAGTAGAAGCTTCAACAATGGTAGTTTTGTTATCTGGAGAAACTTATTCTGGCAGAGTTCAAAGACCTTGTCTAATCCCTAGCACAATTACAGAAACAAATTCCTTTTCTTAAGAACCTACAATGGAAAAAAAATAAACTATACTAAGAATGAAGAGCACTGATGACACCACCTTGACCATCCCATAAGAAATTGCAATTGTCTTTCTTGTGTTCCAGTTCTCATATGAGCACTTTCATTTCTTATAACTCTGCCTGCAGAAGATGTTAACCTGAATGTGACAACTCATAGCACACACGAGCCAAAACAAATGCACGAGGCCGATTTTAAAAATCTGCATCCACTGCATTAAATTGTAATGAAAGTATGAGGGTTTTTTTTAATGCCTGGCATCATCCTTATCTTTTAAAGAGCACTTTCTAACACAATTTTTAAGAGAACATGAAACTTCTGAACATTCCTGCACAGATAATTGCTTGCATCATTCTTTTGAGAGAGATGTTGTACAAAAGAAATACGGATGTTTTAAAATCAAGATATGTACTCTGATTTTAACTGGGATCTTCTGTATTGCCATTAATTGTGAATGTAAGATATTAGCGATGTTATCATCATAAAAGCCAGGGCTAAGGACAGGCTTGCACAAACTGAGGACTGCTGAGATGCAATTCTGATAAGTGACTGAAGGTCAGAAAGATAAGGAAGGAGTGAGGAGACATACTCCTAAGGACAGAATAGGTACAGCCGTCTGACTTGTCTACTCGCTGCTGTCTTCCATCAATGACATTGCTGTCCCCACCTGGGCACAATATTCAGCATCGGATGATGGACAGTTGCCAGGAAACTGTGCATGCACTGCTACAGTTCAACAGGTCTTTTCATTGGGAATGATCTGCTGTTTTCACCATGATACGGAATCATGCATGAAGCTGCCAAATTTGTAGACAGCAGATGGATTTTCTGGACTGTACCCCAGGGAAACAGCAGATGGATTTGCACAGGTAGTCCAGGGCAGCATCCAATTTATTTGTATCTGGTGCTCTGAAGAAGGGCAAAGATCTACTGTCCAAAGCTAATTTGAACTCTTGTGAACTGCAATAATTAGGTGAAATAGGAATGAAATGAAGGGATAAATAAATGATCTAGTGCAATTTTTCACCACCAGTTTCCAGGCAGTGGGAGAGGCAAAGTTGCACTGACTTTTACACAGCAAGAGCTGGTGTTTAAACCATCATTTCTCCTGATGTGTTACCACCATCAGTCGCCATAAGACATTTAAGCAATATATGTGCCATGCAAAATTAACAGGGTAAGATCCATCTTACTATGAACTTATCATGTCAAAGTTAACATGAGAGTTGCGCTAAGCAAGGACAGTGATCTTAAAGGTCTTAAAAGGTTTGGAGTCAGGCCTAGTGCAATATATATATATATATATATGCCTACATTACTGAATGTAGAGAATATATATATATATATATATATATATATATATATATATATATATGTTATCTATACCCATTTTTCACTTGTCTGCTATTTCTCGGGACACAGGCTCCTGGAGGCCCTCATGCATGTGCCTAAAGCTCCAAAGCCCTCCTCCTTTCTGTAGGCACTCACTGCACGTAATGATGCCTGGACCCACATGTTCGGGGTGGACCTTCTCAGCACCACTCCACACCTTTCTTGCAAATCCATCCAAGTGGTAAAGATAGTGCTTGACCAGGGCAGGGTTTTCAGGATTCTGAGGACAATGCTTGGAGTTCTTTTGCAAGGAATATTGCCCCATTGTGCTGCAGGAGGATGCTTTTAAATTTTCTGTTCACTGATCCGAAGTACAAGCCCTTAAAAATCAGAGTATATAACACTGATTTGTTTCAGAACATAAGTCTTTAAAACCTATGCAGGCTTATCTGGGAGTGAGCCCTGTTGAACACAGTGTGACTTACATCCGAGTAAGCATACATAGGAGTAAAACTCTGCTATTCAAAGTCTTAAAGATTAACAGCTTGTTTACATGTCAGTACAATCCCTATTACTTCAAGTCTCCAAATTTGTAAGCTTCTGTAATTTTTCAGCTTTTGCACAGGATTGGTCAGAGCCAAAGCAGAGAGTTGTGTGTTTTTAAAGGTTACTACATGAAAAAAGATGGGGACAGGAGTACTAGGTTCATATTGTTACTTTTCAAAATCAATGTTAGTGAACATTTATTAAGGCTTAGAAAAGTGTGTTTGTATTGTAGTTGCTGTTTGTATCATGCCTATGTATATGTATGGTTTTAAAAAATATTTTCATTCTACATGAATTTCAACTTTGCTAATAAAAGTTTGACTTGATGTAATCTTCAAAAGCCTAAATTGAGACCAGAGAATATTTTGGTATCCCTTAATGTGCCACCTGTAAGTGGTATCCATCTTTCTCTTTGCAAGTTCTCAGCGCTGCAGAGAGAACCCTATACAGAGAGAATTCTGTCAGTGCAAGTCCATATCTGGGAGTTACAATGGGCATTTGTGGTATTCTATCTGACAAGTCATGTCATTGTTCTCATCAAGACCATGCATAAAATGTTCCTTTGAAAAAGGAACATCTGATTATACCACTACCATATGTGTATCTCAATCTTGGGTCCAACTGGGGTCATTGAAGGGCCATATATATTGCACTAAACACATATATCCATACACACTTTTATGGGTATACTTGAAGGGGTCTTCAGGAAGCAGCTTTTTCATTGTTGTTATTATTGGACTATGATGTGGTAGAAAGCGTAGAAGTTCTCTACAGTTGCACGGAAGTCTTGATTTACATTAAGGTTGACCCCAGCTGCTATTTTAAAATGCACACAAATACAAATACACAATTAATATAATGTGCAGTTTGGCTTTAGCATTTCCTGCACTTCTGAGCATTGTCACTATTGTCTAAAAGAATCAGTTAATGTTTCTGAAGATTTTTTTTAGCCAAAAATGTATGAATCTGAAAGCTGTTGTGTCTCTGTTACTACTGTGGAACCACTAACTCCTACATCATTCATTACCCAAGATCATGTAAATATATAATCTGATGAAATCTGGGAAGGAGTATTTTGAAACACTCAGGCTATTCTAGAAGGCTTGCTAAGGAAATGTGCTGATCAAAAAAGGAGAAAGTTATGTCAACATAATTATTAGATTTTTATGGAAATGATTCAAACGCTTCCACAGGAGCAGCAGGTTTTAGACTGATTTCTTTACCTCCCATTTTGGCATCCATTTTTCTGCGATTACATGACACAGTCACATAATATAACATTGCTAGTTGTTCTCAGTGCACCTTGGAAAAGGTTTCTCTGTAATTGCAAGGCACATAGAAATGCAACATAAACAGAAGCTTGTCTGTTATAGCAACTGACACTCACAGGCTCTGCTCTTTGACTAATCTCAGCCTGGGTTATACATGGTTGGGTCCAGGACCAAAGTTGCTGAAGCAGAAGGGCCCCACATGCAGAACTGAACCACAGAATCCTTTCCTTCCCCCTGCGGGCACACTTAATGCCTCTTAAATCTTTTCCAGAGGCTTGGCAGACCCTCTGAAAGAGATTTGGAGGATACAGTGGTCCACAGTTTCCTTCCACCACTTGGAAAATGTCGCTGTCAAACCTTTCCCTGAAGCTTTAGAGCATGGCACGGCCAATCCAACTTTTTCTTGAGATGGAAGCTGTGGAGTCCAGCAAGGACTTCGGGGAAAAAGCTTGGAGCTCCACTCAGAAGAAAGTCCACTGGAGAAGAGAAATCCCCAAGTGCATTGAGTTAATTCACTTACATTGCATGAGTATACATTTAATAATACATTTGAAAAGTAATTGAAATAATTCACACGGACATTTAAAGTAGATGGGCAGCAATTGCACCCAGAGATGAAAATTAACTAACTGCACTAATGGATGGGAATGGATATGGGAGATCACTCCTGTTCTTGTAGTATACTTCTGGTGAGCACCACGAATCTCCAGTGTTCACCATAGCTCTGAGCCAAAGACACTGCTTTCTGAATCAGGTAGGACCAAATTTACACTGGCTATAGGACCCAGACCAAAGCTCTGGGCAATTTGCATTTAATTTCTTCCTTTAGGAACTGATGATCATGGTAATTAGGTATTGAAAAAGGCTTCGAAATGTCATTCATTCAGGCACATCTTATTCTGGGGTATTGGGTGAGGAAATGGTGGCTAGTTAACATTGTGGGGAGAATGTTTTTCTTGAAGCTGCCGTTGTTCTCAACAATCCCCTGGGATGACATCACAGGAACCCCTTCTGCACCCAGCTCACCATTTGTGAATCAGGCAGTGAATTGGTGGAGGGAATTTTGAGAGAGTGGAGAAGAGTGTTCCCAACCAGGCACAAATGGATGCATCCAAGAACCAGCTTATTGACCAGGGAATAACAAGCCAAGTGCAAGTGGAAATGAACAGATCCGATCAACAAACAGCTGAGAATTGCAGACTGAATCTAAAAATCAATGAGAGGACGACTCCATTCACTTTGCCACAAGTCTTTGGCACTTTAAGCTCAGTCACCATTTTGCTCGCAATATTACTTTCATTGGTGTTATCAGCGTATGCATCTGTGCTGCCAGCCCATTCTGTATATTAGAACAAACCTCCAAATGATAGCTTCACTTCAGTGAATTAAACACACACAACCACACACACAATTGAACAAACCATCAGTGCAGATGAAAAAAAAAAAAGTGTCTTGGAAAGGTATTAACCTTTGAGGGAGGTCTCAAGGGCATTTGAAATTTTGCCATTACTATTCATATTCCACATATAATGAGATTTATACTTTTCTCAGTATCATAATGGGGAGGAAAAACCTCACAATCATGTGCTCCACTGGTCTGAGAATAAAGATGCTACTGCCATCTTCAGATACTGAAAGTATAGAACTTCAGATCCACAGTGCTATCACATGCTCTGTGCCTTACTAAAGCTGAGAGTTTAAGTCCGGCGAAGGCAGAAATGCAAGGTGAAACCTGCTTAAATTAGAAGCACATTCTGGAGTGAGACCCTCAGAACAAGTCAAAGAGACCACCTACTCACTTTGCCTCCAAGAGGATCCAGTTTGATCTGGCATGAAACATTACTCTAAAGCACAGCTGTGGCTTGACCCAGCACTCTGGTACAAGGGGGAGTAGGGGCAGGATCCTGCTTCATTACTCTTGTATGAAACCTCTCCAAATTTCTCCAGTTTGGTACTTAACAGATGCTTTGGGCTACAGCTCCCATAATCCCTGGCCATTGCCAATTCAGTTTATTCAGTTTTATTCCAAAATTACATTATTACAAGGAAATGATCGAACACAATTCTGTCTCCATCCACAGTGCACACAGTTCAATAAAAACATTGTTTGTTGCAACTCTCTACAAACAGGCCTTCCTGGTCTGTACTTTTTGGTCTTACTAAACTATTATGGTTCTGACTTGATCTAATTAGCAAATATTGGTACCAGTATTTATTGCTTTTTTGAGGAAAACACCTAAAACCACCCCCAAATTAACCATGTAGCATGAAAGAAATCACAATGCCCATAGCTACATGCATCTTACAGCTGGACTTAAAATAAAACTTGTCCAGACAGGAAAAGGTGGGATTGACAATATATAATTATCCCTTCTCTTTTCAGAAACCGGGGGAATTTAATGATTAAAACCCTGCTGGCTGAAGATCGGAGCAAAGGCTATTTCACAGAGGCTTTTGCTTCACAAAGCCAGGAAATTAGAAACTAAGGCCTTAATCAACTTGTCCTGAGATGAGGAATGTTTCTATGCCATTTCATGAATTGTGCATACATATCCTGCATGAACTCAACCATTTATTTGCTCTTTGAAACTCTAATCCAGCTGGGAAGAATGGCGTGCCTTGGATCAACGAAGATGCCTGCCATCATCTTGGTCTTATCTTCCCTTATAAAGCATCCGAGTCTTACGGGTATACTAGAGGACTCTTCTTCTCAGTTGCCCGCTTCTTGTTAGTTGCTGCCATCAGTGGTTGGCAGGACAAGCTAAAGCATCCATGAGCTGCTTGTAGTCCTCCAGCTTTTTGTCCTTTAATTCTCATCAGCTCTAACAAGCATTGCCAACGGTAAGGGACTGTGGGAGCTATAGACAGAAACATCTGAAAATTTTCGAGTAGCCCATGGGCAGGGTGGTGGGGGAGATTTGTGGTTGAAACTTCTGGGAAGTCCTGTGCATGAAATGACCATTTCTCTGCTGTCACTCCAAGGAAGAGAAAGAGTGATCCTTTAGAACCTCTGGGGGACTTGCTGATATGTACTAAAGCTGCAGATATGCCTTGGAAGAAGGATTCTTAGCAGTAGGTGATTTCATATTGAGAAACACAGTTTGTG